CTCTCCTGGTTATCCTCCTACTTCTCTGACCTTTTCTCATCTGTTTTGCTGGCTCTTCATCCAAGTCATGCCCTCTGACCAGGGGTGTTCTCAAGTGTGTCTCCAGGCCCTTTTGTTCCTCCTATACTTTTTGGCTTGGTGACCTCATCAGATCTCAATTATCATCTCTATGCAGATGATTCTTAGATCTTCTTATCTAGCTCTAATCTCTGGCCGTTAGTGTTATATTTCCACCTGCCTATTTGATATATCAAAGTAGGTGTCTTGAAGCATCTTAAACTTACCAAGTCAAAAACAGAAATCATTATCTCCCTCCCCCCCAAAAAAAAACCAACAAAAAAACTCTCTCCCCTCTTCCTAACTCTCCCATTACAGTCTAGGGATTGTAGAGCAGAGTTGTCAGTCTTGATTCCCCAGTGTGGTGTGAACCAGATTAAAATGTAATTGGGGAATGTTTAACAAAATAAATAAAAATGCAGGAAAACATAATGTAAATTTGTGGTTTCTAAGTCAAGGTGCAGCCTGTTTTTATTGGAGTTTGACACCACTGTTGTAAAGTATTGCTACCATCCCCTCAGTGACCCAGGCTTGTAACCTAGATGTGAACCTCAAGTCCTCGTTTCCCATAATTCAATCTGTTGCTAAGTCTTTTTTACTTACTTTCGTATGCCCCCTTCTCTTCTGTGACACTGCTGCTAGCCTGGTGTAGGCCACCATCACCTTATGCCTGGGCAATTACAGTAGTCTGTTGATTGGTCTCCCTGCCTCAGATCTCTCCCAACTCCAGTCCATCCTCCATTCAGCTATCAAAATGATCTTCCTGAAGTGGCATGTCTGACCTGGTCACTCCCCTACTCAGTAAGCTCCAGACATACCCTGTTACCTCCAAGAACAAATATAAAATCCCATTTGACTGTTAAAAGCCTTCACACCCTAGCCTTTTCCTACCTTTCTAGTCTTCTTACATTTGATTTTCTCCCTTTACCCACAGCCCCAACATAGACTCTGCAAGCATTCCAATGACACTGGTCTTCTTGCTGTTCCCCGAACAGGATACTCCCATCTTCTTATTCTCTGCCTTTTTGCTGGCTGTCCTCCATACCTGGAAATTTCTCCCTCCTGGTCCCTCTTCCTGGCTTCTTTCAAGTCTCAAATAAAATCTTACCTTCTGTAAGAAACTTTTCCCATCCCTATGGAGGAGAGAATGAAACCGGTGACTTTTCCACTAAATCCAGTTCATTTGCAAGTCATGGCATCATTTTCCTGACGTGTTGGTCCTCTTTGAGAAGGAAGGGCAAAACCACAATGCTTATGCCTTCCCTATGAAATTACCTCTCTTGGAGATGTGTAGTTGTTTGTGAGTTGTCTCTCCCCATTACTTTGTGACTCCTTGAGGGCAAGAACTACCTTTCTTTGTATCCCCAGCACTTAGCATTGTGCTTGGCACATAAATGCTTCTTGATTTAGATGTGTTTAGAACAGGGAGAGAGAGCAGCAAATGCTACTTGATTGAATGACTCTTTAATGACTGGAGAAAGTGTCAAAGAAAGTAGGATTTAAAGTGAGTCTTTAAGGATAAATAAAGTTTAGATTGAGGGAAAGAGAGGTTATTTCAGGCAGGGGAAGCAGCACGAGTAAGAGCAAAGAATTAAGGTTTAAGGGAGGGAGAAAGGGACCAAACATTTATTAAATGCCTGTTTTGTGACAGACACTGTGTTAAGCACTTTACAAATAGTACTATGTTCTGGGAACAGGGAGGAGAGAGAATTGAAATGGGGAAGTATGGGAAATAAAATTAATTGCATAAGGCAAGGTCAGATTATGGAGGAATTCTAAAGGCGTTTAGATACAGGACTGCTGCTGCCTCACCTTCAAAATGGATGGTAGGATCATAGACTTAGAGCTAGAGTGGGACTTAACAGGTCAATTCAGTCTAATTGCCTCATTTTACAGATGGGTAAATATAAGCTGATGAAGATTAAATGACTTGCCCAGGGACGCACTGTATCTGGGGTCTTCTAGACTTCAAGCCAAATGTGCCATCTGCTAAAGAAGTTCAGTCTTTACTCCCAGCAAACATATGTTCTCATCTTTAGGCTGGCCATTTTTGGACACTCTGTCTCCCACCACTGCCATTGCCTCAGGATGGCGTGTGTCTCTGGACTGCCCCAATGATTCATTAACCCTTCTCTGGTGACCACTTTCTTATTGTGTTGTCTGTTCCTATTAGAAGATTTTCTAAGCTCTTTTAGGCTGCAGTTGTCTGTCAATTGTATTTGTATCCCCAGTCCTTATCCTGGTGCTTGGCCCTGGGTGAGTACTTCTATGCTTTTTCATCTATTCATTTAGTGCCTTTAGGAAAAAGAACAAACTACTTAGTGACTAATGGAATTTTGAGGTCAGGGGAGAAGGAAGATTATTCCAGGATTTTTAGCTTGGGGGACTAGAAGAATGGTAGCAACATTGATAGAAATATAAAGGGGTTAGCAGGGGAGATTAACTTTTCTTGGTGGGGGTAGGAATGGAAATGATTTTATATTTGAGCATATTTCATTTGACATGACAGTGGAAGGTTAAAGTAGAAATACCCTGTAAGAAGTTAGAAATATAGCACTATGCCTCAAGTAAGACAGTTGGGTATAGAGAATTTTAGAGTTCTGCACGGAGCTATTATATGAAGTAATGGGAGTGCATATGTAGTTCTTTTTGTAATGAATTTATGGAGAGAAGGGTAGAGGACTCTAGTCATAGCCCTGCATGATGCTCCCAGTTAGAGGGTGAGAGGAAAAAGAGAAGCACACCGAAGAAACAGAGGCCAAACTACCAGAAAAGTGGGCTCACAGAACTCAAAAAAAGAGAGTGGCCGTACTGCAGGGGTAATAGATGGCTGGGAAGTAAAATCAGCGTTCAGGATCTCATAATCAAAACGTTTGGCCACAAAAGGAAGAAGAGAGTTGAAGGGGTCATACGATCCCTCCAGAAGAAAGAAAAACGTTCCATAAATAACTTAAAACATTTCAAAAAAGTTTGATGTTTTGTGTAGTTTTTTATACCCACAGACCTCAACCTCTGCAAAAAATGGAGGAATTGAGGTATTTTTTGATATTTCTTTTTTGGGGCCAAATTCAGTCATTATTTTTCAGGTTCTAATTTCAACTGTTTTGTTATTGCTGTTCATAATCTCCTAAGAAATGCATTTTTTGTTCATTTGAAATAAGTTTGTTTGAGGGAACTCACATGAGTCTGTCTTTTTGGCCAAGTAGGAGATAGATTTTGTGAATCCAGAAAGTCATCGTAAAGGAAATGTATGACTACAAAAGGAAAGAGGCCAATCATGTAGCAAGAGCTAGAACTGTGCAGATTGAGTACGTAGAATAGGCTGAACCTGATTCTGTCTGGCCCTTGAGTTATTGTGGTTTGATCCTTCTTGGATATTCAAAAAGAGATTTACTTATTTACATCTTACTTTTACATAGGATTTTCAAACAGGAGGTAGTATTTAGATGAGTAGAAAAGACCTCCTTAGCAGGGGAAGTTGTAGTGACTTCCTGGGCCTCTAGGTAACCCTTGGTCTAAAGGACTTCTCCTAATGGGTGTCTCTTTTATATCCTTAGGTGGTTCAGAAATAATGTTAGTACAGGCAGAGGCCACCAGGAGACTTGAGCATTTGCCCCCTGGCTCTGGTCCATAGTGATCCCATCGCAGTATTTTATTGGTATCTGTTATATGTTGAAAGAGCTGAACAGATTTCATCTGGATTTGTTGGCTAGTTCCTCTATAAAGGATTTATGGGAGGAAGAATCATAGGATCATACAGAATAAGAAGGCTTGGATGGCTTTCCATCTAGGCTGGTAGAAGGGAGATCACAGATCCTGAGGTGAGGTTATCTGCTGAGAGAGAGAATGACAGGGATGTTTATATGGAGGCATTGGGGCTTTGAGGAAAGGAAATTGTGGGTATATTTGAAAGTGAGAGATGAAGTCAGATTTTTTGAAGTTGGTGATTTGGTGATACAAGGATGGTTTTTAAAGAAAAAGTTTAATTGATAGCATTTGGTTTTTATACTAGTTCTTTCTAATACCCTCCTTCCCCTCCCCCCATTACTTTCTCCTTGAGCTTTGTAACAACAATGGAAAAAAGGCGTTTAGAAACCCTAACACAGCAATCATGCCTTCCAACGTTTGTAGCATTTGTTACTCCCCGTTTTTATTAGATATTTCATCATGGGTCTTCTGGAGCCAATATTAGTCATTTCATGTAATGATACAGTTTTGTTTTGGTTTTTTGTAGTTGATTTTTCATGGTTTGGTGGCCATTACATAATATATAACTTTGAAATACAGGTTTTAGTTTAAAAGATATCTATCCTTCAACTAAATTTTCATGATGATGATAATTTTTTAAAGGAAATCTAAACTATAGAATATATCTTATAGAAAGAATCTCCCACCTCCACCCCCACCCCCCACCCCCACCCAAATATGTCTTTTTGCTTTAAAGATTTCAGCCAACAAATGGCAGCCTTGGTATAATAGAATTAGGTAGAGAGTCAGCCTTGGAATCATAGAGAACTGGAAGAGCCCCCCAGAGACCACCCACCTGCCTAGTTCAAACCCCTTATTTTACAGATGTGGAAACAGAGTCAGAGCAGTTAAGTGACCTGTTGGAGGTCACAGAGGTGATAAGTACCAGAGGCAACATATGAACCCAAGTCTCTGACTCCAGAGCCAGAGTTCTTGTTCAAGTCTTCTCTCTCACACGTGCTTGTGGTGTGACTATGAGCTCTTTACTTAAGCTTTCAGTGCCTCATAGCAGTTGCCCATCTCTACTGGTAAAAAAAGGACTTTACACATTCCTTCAATCAATGAGATCTTAGGTCTGGTCCAAAGGGGAAAAAAAAATGCAACCAAAATAATGGATGCAGAGGGAAAGGAGATTTGATTTTATATACATTAAAATTTCTGTTCTGTACTAATCAATAAATCTCATTCTTCCTCAGGAACATACTTTAATAGGATCAGCTAATTCCCAAGATATCCAGCTCTGTGGAATGGGAATTCTGCCTGAACATTGTATTATAGACATCACACCAGAAGGCCAAGTTATTCTAACTCCTCAGAAGAATACCAGGTATCATGTGCTACAATAATGGCCATTATTAGTATTACATTTCTTATTTATTGGGAGACAGTCAGTAGCAAGGAGATTTGATATGTTTTTGCTTTTTATTTTTTTAAGTCACTGGCTTATTTGAAAGACAGGTACTCGCAGGATGGAAGTTCAAGATGGTACTGCTATTTTATGTCTATTTTTCTGAATGATAAAATTATTAGTTAACCTTGTACAACCCATTTGTGGCTAAAGGCACTCACTGCTTTGGATGGGCCCTGTTTTTTTTTTTCCTGTTTTAAGTTGAATCTTTGTACCATTGGAAAATATGTAAGTTATTTTTATGTTCTTTCTGAAGCAAGTGGGGCATAAATGTTATATAAGTATTTATTTCTGTTCTAATTTTAGTGTTTTAGATTGTTTTTTAGTTATTCACAGTTACTATGGAAGTACCTCCTTATGTGAACTGCTACAATAGTTCTATAATCCTTTTATTGAAGTTAATTGTAGATTTAATCAAAGAGATTTTTTCAAGTATCTGAACTGAAATCCATCAGCGATCTGAGACGGATTTGCTTTATTCTCTTTTTGCTTTTTTATTTTAATTTTTATTGAACCAGTGGCATCAGAGGACTGGAATTATAATCCCATCTGTGCCAACAACTGCCCTGTATGACTTGGGGCAAGAAGTTAGCAACTTCTCTGGGCCTCAGTTTCCTAATCTTTAAAATGAGAGGATTGGATTAGATGATCTCAAGAACCCCTCTAACTTTAAATCTGTGATCTGTGTTTTGCTTTAAATCACTTTCATTTCCTACCACACAGAATGCTATCCCTTATAACAAAGACGAGAAAATAAAGAGAAAAAATCCAGTTTGGCAAAACTAATATGCAGTGTTTTACACACACACACACACACACACACACACACACACACACACACACAATACCACCTTTGCGAAAGAAGGAGGGAAGGAGATGCATCCTCATATCTCTTTTTCCTGGGTTTGCTTATTATACATATACTTCGGTCAGTTTCTTTCTCTCTCTCTCTCTCTCTCTCTCTCTCTCTCTCTCTCTCTCTCTCTCTCTCTCTCTCTCCCCTTGCATCCTTCCTTTTTTCCTATTTATATTGATGTAGTAATTTGTATTGCTTTTTTTTGCTTTTTCATCATCCATGTGAATCTTCTACATGCTTCTTTATAATATGTCAGACTTTCTAGACAAGAGGAACCCTGCTACTAGCACTCTTGAGTCTAAAAGACTTCTTAATTGCCATAAATTCTGAGTAATGTTGAGGCTAAACCTGTGATTCATCTTTATCTCATTAAAATATTTGTAATGTCCTCTGATTAGCCACATCTTCTTGGGAGGAGACTACACTTCATTTGATCCTAAAGTGTCATGTAGCAGTGTTATCTCTAACAAAATAATTATTAAACTGCTTAAGTTAATATGTTACACGGTTATTTGGTATATTATAAACTGGCAAATTACTATGTTCACCAGAGTCTGTATGTGCTGACATAACTCTAGTGTCTTGAGTAGTTTTTCAGTTCTCATTTTGCTTTGACTAGTACCTTCCCCTTGAAGTTTTTATGTTGAAAAATGTACTATGTGTATATTCTGCTTGAATGCAGTAGAAATTCCAATTAGTGTGTGTTTATGACTTCTGAAGTATACAGGGTTGGACGAGCTGGGTGTTATACTCTCTAGAGAGTTTTTTCAGACCTCTGACTTAAAAAAAAAATTCCAGAATTTCACCATTAGATGGCACTGCTTTATTTGAAGGCTAAGACCTTTTTATTTAAGTCCCTTTATAAGGCACAATGATTTAAGAAACTAAATTAAGCCAGTTTTTAAAAAAACCACCATTAATTTGTGAAATGTACATAACTACAACTTAACATAAGTTCTTTGTACAAAGTAGGCATTCGGTACATATTTCTTCATTTGAAATATGAGAAAAGGTCTGAAGCAAGAAATAAAAGAATATGATGTGAATTATCTTCTGCCAGTATAGTCTTGGGTCTCTCCTGGGTGATTTACCTGAGACTTAGCAAGTTTAAATGACCCATGACAATTAAAGATGAGATTTTTAACCCATGAGAAATACAGCATGGAGCTGTGCATAGAGAAGAGACTTCAGACAGGACAATCTTAATTCATTCAAAGCCTGCCTAGGACACATACAGACCCTGCGACCCTGGTGAGCCCCCAGCCACTCTCTGGAGACTACAATCCAGAAGAGTTGCTGATTGACATTGACAGATGGAGTCTCCTCACCCAATACCTCTCACCACATATTTACTGACTGACTCAGATTCATAGACACCCCTCCCTGCTGTACTTGCAGTCCCCCACACTGGCACTTCTCCAGAGTGATAAGCACAGGAAGCAGCTGCCACAGCTTGAGACATACATGCTTATTTATCATAAGGCAGTGTAGTTTCTTGCCTATCCAGTGGAAGACAAACTTCCCCTACCTTGTTCTGTTCATCCCCGTAATTCAGAGTGATTGTCTGCTGAGGTAAATCCTTTCCTCTGAGTATTTATTCTGACATTTATCCCTGGCTACCCCAACTTTGCTCCTCCTCAGTCCAAATCCTCCTTTGTTCTCTTATTTTATTATGCTCTCTGGAACCCTTGCTGTAATAATAAATTCTAACTTGTCCCAAATAGATCATTTCAAATTACCCTCTTTCCATCTAGTGACACTCATGGGAACCTGGCTGTCTCCAAATGATACTTGGCCACCCTCTTCACTATAAGTTGTTGTTTTCATATCCCCCAAATGCAGGAAAAGTAAGTCTTCTCCTTGCTCCCCTCTGCACCTTCCTTATCCTCTCTCTGTGATCATTCAGTTGCTTTCCTCTTTTAAAGTTCACTTCATCCATCTGACCAAACCAGATTGTTATTGCACTGGTTTTCTGTGGGCTGGCAAAGGTCACTCTTCTTGAAGACACTTCATGGCATTACAATAAATTTAGATATCACTTAGAATACCATGGCCTCTTAGCCTCTCAGTGTCCTCAGTTCCTGTTGTTCACATCTTCACTCAAACCTAGTCAGTCATAGAAGTGGTCATACCTTAGGTCTTATAATCATCCATAACTGCCACCTCCATTATCTTTAACTCTGAAACTTCCCTTCTTTTTGTAAGTTTCTAGGTTTCCGTCTCTCCTACTTCCTCACTCCTCTTAATCCTGGCCATACGTTTTCCTTGACCATTAATCATGCTTTAGCCTCACTAGGTAAATTATCTTCATGGTCTTGACCCTATGGTTACCAGTTGGACATGACAGTGTTCTCTACTCTTGAACCCCTCCCCCTTTGTCCTTTTGCCTTTCATGCCTTAGATCACTCACCAGCATTCCTTTCTCCACTTCTTTGCCCATACTGCTGAATGTATCTGGAGGGAGTCATGCAGCAGTGTCTGACCACATCCCTTCTCCACTCAAGAAGCTTCACTTACTCTCTGTTTCCTGTAGGATGAAAACACAGACTCTTCTGTTTGGTACTTAAGGCCTTAAAAGGGGCAGCTGATTGGCGCAGTGGATAGAGCACTGGCCCTGAAGTCAGGAGGACCTGAGTTCAAATCCGGCCTCAGACCAAACACTCGACACTTACCAGCTGTGTGACCCTGGGCAAGTCACTTAACCCCAGTTGCCTAACCAAAAGAAAACAAAACAAAAAAGCCTTGACAATCTGACTCCAACCTGTCTTTCTAGATTTATTCCATATTGGTATCCTTCATTCTCTCTGCCTTCTGTCCAAACTGGCCTATTTCCTACTTTGTTCATATGATACAGCTTTGTGTCTCTCTCCTTCTTTCTCCTCCCTCTGACTCTTAGAATCTCTAGATTTATTAAAGGCTCAGCTCAAATGTCAGCTCCGATACGAGGCCTTTGCTGATCTCCCCACTTGTTCCCACTGTACCTGCCCCCTAAAATTACATTTGCCTTGTATATATTTTGTGTTTATTTAGCTCTGTACATCTGTAATCTCCCAGGATCATGTAACACTTTGAGGACAGAGACTATTATATTTTTGTATTTTTATCTCCCTTCCCTAGCACTGTACCTTGAATACATTAGGCACTTAAAAAATATTTGTTCAGTTGACTTGAACCCTAACTACAAATTAATGTTATCTGTTAACTAGACCCTTATTGTCATTTTATTTTTGCCTGATAATAGACTCTGTCACTATCCTGGAAGTGATTGTTCATAATTTTATTTCCTTGAGTCTCTAATACCTCTGTTCCCACCAGCAGATGATCTAGCCTCCTAGTTTATTGAGAAATATGAGTCCATCTGAGATAAATCCATACTCTAAAACCTCTCTACATCTCTGTCCTCTTTTGTGTAGTCTCTGAGGAAGAGATTTGCCTTGCCCAGACCCTCCTTCTTCTTGTGCCTTTGATTTCTCCTTTCCCGAAGTTTGTCCCATTTACTATTCTTTTCCTCTCTCTCATCTTCTGTCTCCCTTTCTACTGGCCTTTTTCCTGTGGCTTACAGTTTTGGTTTTTCTCTGTACTTAAAAGACTTTTCAGTTAAGCTATCCTCTATCTTTCCTTTGACTGCTAATCTCTGGAAAGAGTTGTCTGTACTTGCTGCTACTTCTTCTCACTGTCTAACCACTCTAAGATGTTTTTAGTTAATTCCCAACCTTAGTGCTTTGCTGAAACTTCTGTCTCTATACCAGCCATCACTTGACTCCTAAAATTAGTGGCCTTTTCTCAGTCCTCATTTTACTTAACCTCTCTTTAGCTTTTGATACCGTTGATTACCCTATTCCCTTCTGTATTCTCTCCTTCCTTGGCACATCTCCCACCTTGTTCTCCTTCTACCCTTGTGACAATTTCTTCTCAGTGTCTTTTCCTAGTCCATCATCCATCACCTGTCTTTAAGTTTTGATATCACTCAAAATTATCTCCTGGGCCATCTTTTCATTTTACATTGTCCTCTGTATACTCAGTTACCATCTCTGTTCAGATGACTCCCCAATCTGCACATTAAGTAAGCCCTAATCTCTCGTCTGTACTCCAGTTTCATAACACCAGCCACCTGCTAGACATCTTCACCTGTATGTCCCATTGGCATGGGTGATAACCTTGACATTTCCAAAAAGGGAACTTGCCACCTTTGTTCTTAAATTCAACCCCCCCCCCTTCACCTCTAGACTCCCCTCTCTCTGTTGAGGGCTCTGCTCCTTGATTCATCTTTTTCTTTTCCAGGTACCCTCCCTTTGTTGGGATTGCTCAGTCTTCTGTGTCGTTCACATCTGTTTCCTTCTGTCCATTCATACGGCTACTACTTCTTACCTGTACTATTCTAATGGCCTCCCAGTTTGTTGCCCTACTTCCAGTCTCTTCTTTTTCCTCTCCAAACCATCATCTATATACACAGGTGCCAAAAATCTCTTCTTAAACCCTAGGTCTCACCATGTTATTTCCCTGATCAGTAGACTTACAGGTCTCCCTTTTTCTTGTAGGATAAAATATAAGCTCCTGACCTTAGCTTACACCCTCCACGACCTGGCTGTATTAGCCTTTTCCAGCCTTGTTCCACGTTATTCCCTTTTAGGTACTCTTTAAGCTCCAGCTAGACTTGAAGTGGAGGTTAGAAGGAAGGGGGAGAGAGGACAGAAGCCTCTAGGGACCATGCTGGTAATGATTGGTTGCCTGCCTAGGTTGCATGGAAAGGTGGTGGTCTATGCAGTCCACACTAGGTGCAGGTCAAAGGAAGGACATCAGCAGTGGCAGGTTGTGGCTGCAAGTGTGCACAGTTCCCGGCACTTAGTAGGAACTTAATAAATGTTTGATGAAGTGATTGATCAGCAGTGCTGTATGCTCTTTAGTTCTAATATTTTCTCCTAATACCTCCATGATTTATCTTGGATACTCCACTTTAGAAACCATTACTCTAGGGCATCGTTGATTGATCTGGTACTTATATTAAATATTATTACTGTGCTTAGCACAGTGCCCAGCACATTGTAGGCGCTTAATAAATGTTTATTGATTGATGAATTATTTTAGTAATGACTTTTATTGCCTTATTTAATTTTTTAAATATTTAATACAAAATATTTGTGTATGTGGGACTTTTAAATCTACTAGTAGTGAACTTAATGTTATAAACTTTCAAATTGTTATAGAGATTGGTAGATTTTATGGTTCCTATAAATTGGGTGTGTATGTGTGTGTGTGAATTTTTAAAAATTGCTATAGACTATGTCTTTAATAATGTTTTAATCATTAAAATATAAATGGCAGTTATCATCATTTATTTGTAAATTTAATCTCTTCTCCACACAGGACATTTGTAAATGGTTCTTCTGTTGGAAGTCCTATACAGTTACACCATGGAGACCGAATCTTATGGGGAAACAACCACTTTTTCAGGTACAGGAGTTTTGACGTTGTACATTAGTCCTCTGGGAAGGGCTCCTAACTATTGAGTGTCTTAATCTGAAGCTAAAAAATATAGATTTAGAATTTGACTCAGCGTAATAGAGTAATACTAAGCTTTTATTAAGGGCCTAATGTGTACAGAACATTATGTCTGATCTATGTGGAGATATGGAATTTGAATTCATTGAAATTAAAAATCACAGATTCTATGGCGAGGCAAATATTTTTCTTTGAATTTTATAATCACTGATTTATCTTTTTCATGTCCATTATTTAATTTTTTAGCATTAATTTTTTTTTAAATTTTGAGTTAAATTCTCTCTCTTTCCAGTCCCTCCACCACGCATTGAGAAGGCAAGCAATATGATATCAATTATACATGTGAAATCATTTGAAATGTATTTCTAGGCATATATAAAATGGACAGTACATTCAAAACACTGGTAGGACAGTCAGGAAAGATAGTAAATTTACTCATCTACCTTTCTTTTTTCCCCAAATGATTTGTTTGGATGATTGAAAAGAAGGTAGAGGAGAATGATAAATGTATTTTCTGACTATATGATTATCATGGTATCTGCTAGGCAGGACATGTTCAAAATGAAATTGTAACTATATTTTACTAAAGAACCATGAATCGTCTGAGGTTGTATGACATTCAGTGAAAAAGGAAGCTCTGTGACATGGACAGACAGCTTCTCTGGGCCATAGTTTCATCATTGATAAGATGTGAGGGAGTTAAAGCTATTTTCACTTGTCAAATTCTGTTGTTTCAGAAAATTAGAACTGAACTTTCTCCTAGGAGCCTTCTTTCCTTCATCCTAGATGGTACTCTTAACCATATTGCCTTTCTTCAGGCATCAAATTGTGTTATTGAAACTCCTGGGGAGCCTCTGCTTGTAGACTGACTCTTTCTCCTAAAAGGAGCAAGAAGAGCCTGGATCTGGAGTGGAAATTATATGAAGACATTTTTTTTGTGTTTTCTTTTCAAACTGTTACGACTCTGACTTTAGCTCCTGTTGTTTCTCTCCCTTGTGACCATATTATATTCACTTAGAGTTTGAACTATGACCCCTAACTTGATGACTCCCATGTTCCTTGTGGGAGACCTGTCCCTGGAATGCTGTCCTATTTTATCTGGCTTCCATCAAGACTCATCTATATTGCTGCAGGAGGCCTTTTCTGGTCCCCTCCCTGGTTTTTAGTGCCATCTCTCTGAAATTAACTTTTACCTATCCTGTATGTATTTTGTATGTATGTATTCACATGTTAACTCCACAGCAGAATGTGAGATTCTTGAGGGCAGGGACCGTGTTTTTGTCTTTCTATCTCCAATACTTAGAACAGTGCTTAACACATAATAAGCACTTAATAAATGCCTGTTAGCTGATTGAGTTAAGATCCTTCATTGTCCCTCTAAAATTTTATCTTGTTAAGGTTTTAATGCATTGTACAAGCTTTAGAGATCTTTTGAGATCTTGACTCTTACTCAGTATGTTAATATCTATCTCCAGCCTTAAATTCTCTTTCAAGCTCCAGTCCTACATTTCTAACTCTCTGCTCTACCTGTCTTTCTTCATTCTCAAACTCAACATGTTTAAAAGCCAAAACTGTCATTTTCCTCTCAAATCCAAGTTGTCCTTTTGAAAAACATTTCTTTCAGTGATAATGCCCTTCTAGTCAAAAGTTAAAACTTCAGAATCATCTTTGTCTCCTCTTTCTCCACTCCATTCAGTGATCAAGACCTGTTGATTCTTCCATAGGAACATCTCTTACATTTGTCCCCTAGTTGAGGGGCCTTATCTCACCTCATGCCTAAACTGTTGCAATAGTTCAGGATCTTTGGGTGGAGATTTTACCCCTTCAGTGCATCCTGTCAAACTAATCTTTATAAAGTAACAGTTTGATGATATAATTTCCCTGTTCATCAGGCGACTTTCTGTTGTCTAATAATAGTGTGAGCTAAAGTTTATATGGTGCTTTGTTAGGTAATGTTTTTTATATATAACATTTCGTTTTGTCCTTATAGCAACCTTATGGCATAAATGTTGTCATTACTTCCATGTACAGAAGAGAAAACAGGTTTGCAGACATAAGAACATAGATTTGTTGCTAAAAGGCACCTTAAAGGTCATCTAGTCCAACCCCCTCATCTTACAGATGAAGAACTGAGGTGCAGAGAGCTTAAGAGTCTTGCCTAAAGTCACACAAGTAGGAAGTACAGAGAATAGATTTAAATTTCCCTCCCCTGACTCCAAATCCAACACTGTTTTCCATAGCCACGCTCCAGTGACTGGTAAGGGTCACACTGCTAGAAAGTGTCTAGGGTGGGATTCTAACCCATTTCTTTCTGACTACAAGCCCGTGTTTCTGTCCATTCTAATCAAACTCTAATCTCTTAGGTTGACTTTTAATGAATTAAAAGCCCTCCAAAATCTTGACCCTAGTTTTAGCTTTCATCATTTCCTCTGCAATAACCTTATGTGCTAGTCTGTTATGTTTGCTTGCCATTCCTCAAAAATACACTTTACTTTTCTATGTCTTTGACTAACCATGTTCTCTTTGCCTGTACTTTCTTCCTACTCTATCTGCTTATGAAACTCCTAGCCATTCTTCAGTGCCTAGCTTAAATTATGCCCATTACATGAAGCCTTCCCTGAATATCTTAGCTAGAAATGAATTCATCTGGTATTTAAAATTTGTAATAATTGTAAGGACATATTTCACATAAGTAACACATAATTCTTTGTGTTGTACGTCTCTTATTTATCTTATTGGATTGTCAGATCCTTAGAGCAAGGACTGTTTTATACACATCTGTAGTTTTTGAGGCAAAAGTACTTTGTAAATTTTAAGTGCCAAATAAATGTAAATTGTAGTTGTCACCTGGCCCTCAGTAGACACTTTATTCAGTATTTGTTAAATGAACGAATAAGATTTTATTAAGAAAATTACTCTTTTTCACTTTTTCAAGACTCAATTTGCCTAAAAAGAAAAAGAAACTAGATAAAGAAGAAGATGAGGACCAAGAAAATTCTGTGAAGAATAGCAGCAGTGCGGAGCAGCTGGATGTAGATGGAGACACTTCGAGCGAGGTGTCCAGTGAAATTAACTTCAATTATGAGTATGCACAAATGGAAGTGACTATGAAGGCTCTGGGGAACAATGGTAAACAGTACTCCATTGTTGTGTTCTTTGGAATTCTTAAAAGTCACCCTTAGGGAAGAGGCCTTCCAAACGGTCATCAGAATGGAAGTGCTGGTGTTGCTTTTCTCTATAGCTTTGATTTAACTTGCACCCAAAGTCAGATTTCCCCAAAACTTCTAGTTCACAGCATTTCTCCACTGCCCCCAGGTTTGGGTTACTGATAATAGAATAGAGTACAAAGCCATTGAGGACCTTAGCAATCGTATGTGATGTGCTGATTTTACAGGCCAGGAAACAGACTCCCACACAGCAGGACATTCCCAAGATCACTGAGGGTGTAAGACCCTCCCACCTCAAATTATTGTGAGGAGCCAATGAAAGGGTCTTTAGAAAGCACTCTGCAACTTCAGTGTACTATACAAATTTGGGAAGTACTGCAGAACTGGAGAAAGGCAAATATCTTCTTGATTTTCAGAAAATTCTACAATTTGATGTTAAAGAGGTAGTGAGCGAGTATCTAGGAAAAAGAGCCATCTTTCTGAGAGCTGATGTGGCTTCAGTAAAAACAGATCATCCCAGACCACCACTACATTCTTTTTTGACCAGATTTCTCAACTTGATGGTGTTTGATAAACTGTCTGGAGGTCTTGTGAAAAGGACCAACAGCACCATTAGATGGATTTGGAACTCCCCAAGATTGGCTGGATTAGGAGTAATCCTTTAAGTGTTCATCTTATCAGGCGGTCTCCTGTGGAATGCTCCTGGATTTTGTCTTTGACCCTCTACTCTCTTGCATTTATATCAGAAGTTTGGGTAAAGCCATCGTTGTCTGATTTACAGATGACACGAAGCTTAGAGGGATGGATAACACACTGGATGACAGAGTTATGATCAAAGTAATTGTGACCTTGGTTTCAGTTCAGTAAGATGAAATTTAATATGAATAAATGTCTTATACTTGTGTTCAAGAAATTAACCCCACAAGTACAAGATGTTGGAGGAGGGATGATTAGACTGTAGTTTGAAAACCATGTGGTGATTTTTAAATGGACTAAATAGCTCAATATAAATCAGCAACGTGACATGGCAGCCAAAAAAAGCTCATATAATTTTGGGTTGCAGTAAGAGAGGAATAACTTCTAGGAACAAGGAGGTGAGAATCCTATTTTACTCTGCCCTAGTCAAATCACATCTGCCATATTGTGTTCACTTCTGGGTACTACATTTTAGGAAGGACTGGCGAGTGTCCAGAGGAAGGTAACCAGGGTAGCGGACAGTGCCTTATGTCCGTGTCATAAGAACGTCAATTGATGGAACCGAGAATAGTTCGGAGAAGAGAAAGAAGATTTGGGAGGGAGACACAATAGCTGGTGTCTGCCTTGTAGAAGAGCTGTTAGACTTGTTCTGGTTGACTTTACTGGGAAGAACAAGAACTTTGAGTTTTTCAAGAAATCAAATTTAGGCTTGATATCAGGAAACACTTGTTCACATGAGAACTGTCGCAAAGTGAAATGGATTGCCTCTAATGTAGTGGGCTCAGCCTCCTTAGAGGTCTTCCAGCAGATATTGGATTGCCACTAGTTAAATATGTTGTAGTGAGGAATCTTTTTCACATAAGGTTTAAATTTGCATGGACACAGAGATGCCTTCCCACACTGGAATGTTAGGCATTATCAGTTACTTTTTACATGGTTGCAGAATTTGGGTTCATATTCAGATCTTCTGATTCCAAGTATGTTTAAATTGCTTGACGATTATTATCATCTTTAATTCCATCGTATAACATTTCTATATATGTCTCAGAAAATAGTTGGATCTTGTTCCTTCTAACAGAAACCTAATACTATTTTTTGCTAAGGAGTGGGAGGAAAATTTTATAAGTGAAGATGTGATGGAGACTGAGAGTGTGGGTATTAACTTTATTCCACTTGTCTTCAGGTACCTATAGTGCTATGTGAAATCCATATGTAGTGGTAAAAAATTGTAGGTAAAATATTTGTGCCATTCCAGTGAAGATTTTGTTGATTTTTTTTTTTACTCTTCTCTATACACCCTCCTAATCATTACTTTTTCTTAGGGAATTATGATTGTTGAGCTTTGTAATATTTTTTATTGTTAGGAATTATTTTAAAATATTGAAAATGAAGAAGTATTTTGAAATAAGATATAATCAGATGGTATAGAATTTCAGCAATGTATCCACAGATACTTTGGCCTCAATTTATGGCTATTTGAGACATTGGTGGTTGTCATTTTTTTTAAACCTCAATTTTTTTTAATACTGCCAACATTCATATTCTAAATAGACCATTTTTACATTTTCTTCATGAAATGTGAAACCAAATTCTTTTGTGAAATTGAGCCCATGACATCATTTGCAGTAGTTTTGTAACACACTGTATGCTGTCTAAAGATGCACATGATAGTAAGAGTGGGAAATAGTTTAGTCAGAGGTTCTACTAACTAGTGTAACAGGATTATAGAACAATATTTGAAGTATGTGTTTTAGGTCATTGAATTTTTTAAGCCAAATATTTATTCTATTTCAAGTACTTACCTGTGGTTTCTTGATCTTGATTAGATCCAATGCAGTCCATCTTGTACAGCTTGGAGCAACAGCATGAAGAGGAGAAGCGGTCAGCATTGGAGCGTCAGAGACTGATGTATGAACACGAGCTGGAGCAGCTAAGAAGAAGGCTTTCTCCTGAGAAACAGTCCTACCGTAGTAGTATGGACAAATTCCCCTTCCATTCTCCCAGTGCCCAGCAACGCTTAAGACAGTGGGCAGAAGAGAGGTAGGTGAAAGATTGTTGTTGTTTGGTCGTTTTCAGGCGTGTCCAATTTGGGGGTGACCCCATTTGGGAAGATTTCTTGGCAGAGATACTGGAGTGGTTTGCTGTTTTCTTCTCTAGCTTATTTTACAGATGAGGAAACTAAGGCAAACAGGGTTAAGTGACTTGCCTAGGGTAATGCAGCTAGTAAGTGTCTGAGGCCAGATTTAAACTCAGGTCTTCCTGGCTCTAGGTCCCAAGCTCTGTCCACTGCTCCCTAGATGCCCTAGGTGAAAGATACAGAATTATTTTGTACCAGTCAAAGAAGTGCTGGTAGTAGGCATATGAACTGAATAGAACAGAGTTACCATGTGACCAAGCAAATTTGTACAAAAGATTAATATTTATTAAACCTGTAGAAAACAAGAACTGAGTAAAAAATTAATTATTTAACAAAGATATTTGGGGAAACTAGTTTCTTGAACCATATCTTGAGAAATGGATTTAGACCCATATCTTAATCATATATCACAAAGAACCAAAAAAAATACGTAAGATAGGAAAATAATGTACTTTTTTCTGTCATGGAAGGGAGATTTACTTTTTAAAAATTATACAAATATAGGAATCAGACAGATATGCTTAATTACATAAAATATTGACATGATAGAAGAAATAGGGTAAAAAATAAAAATAATGGAATGGGGAAATATATTGAAAATTGGACAAATAAAAATTAATCCAAAATATACAAAGAAATAAAGAACTGTTAAGAGTGTGTGTGTGTGTGTGTGTGTGTGTGTGTGTAAATAAAAGTAATAGCCAGTCAATAAAAATTGCAACTTATGAACAAGTTACAAAGAGGAAGCATAAATTTTTTGTATTCCCTTATAAAGATGTTTGACCTCCCTAATAAGTATAGATGCATATTAAGATAACTTTGAGTTATACTAATCAGATTGGCAAAAATAGTTAAAAGCCAGAAACTCAGTCCTGGTAGGATTGTAGAGAAACACACAAAACTATTTGATGTTGATGAAATTGCAGACTAGTACAGTCTTTTGAGAAAGAAATCTGGTTGGTAAAAGTTACAAAAATATTCGTTGCCCTTTGGCACAATAATTGCATTGTTGGGGTATTGTTTGTGTTGTTCCTGACCTGTGATTTCATTAGAGTGGGTGACCTCTTGGTATAGAGTGATGGGAAAGTTTGCCTAGCAATGTGGATAGCAACTCATTTGTAACTTAAAAGTTTTTACAGTTGCCTGGGGCCCTGAGGAGTCGATTAATTTGCCCATGGTTTTACAGCTAGTGTGTGGGCTTCTCAATGCTACACCACATTGTCCCCTTGTTGTTGGGAATATACCCTGAGATTATTATTAAAAAGAAAAAATAGCTATCTCTTCAAATATATTTGTTGTTGTTGAATCGTTTCAGGCATGTCTGGCTCTTTGTGTCTCCATTTGGGGTTTTCTTTGCAAAGATACTGGCGTGGTTTGCCATTTCCTTCTCCAGCTCATTTTACCAATGAGGAAACTGAGGCAGATAGGGTAGTGAGTTGCCCCGGCTCACACAGCTAGTAAGTGTCTGAGGCTGGATTTGAACTCAGGTCTTCCTTACTCCAAGACCTGTGCTCCATCCACTGTGCCACCTAGCTGCCCCAAATATATTTATAACAGTATTATTCTGATATAGCAACAGGAAAAAGGTCATGTATATCATCTATAGTGAGTACTAGGGTCCTTGGTGGGGTAAAGTGGGGAGGGGCAAGGCTTGATCCATATGTAATCAATTAGGATGGTGGAATATATCCAATCCTTCCTCTCTGTAGTAGCCAAACTTGGAGGTTGTCTCCAACAGAACCATACTACCTGTCAACTATTTAGCCCGATACTCCTTCTCTGTACAAACTCCCAACTTTTCCCTCTGAGAGTCAGGTTTTGGCCCAGGGTAATTGTAATCTAACCCTAGCTCTGGAACTCACCTAGACTAGCTACTCTTACGGAGGTTTCTTCAGAGAAAACCCCCACCCCCCACCATTAACATCTGTGATATATTCCAAGATTTGAACTTCAGACATGATCTCTTTACTCTCCCAGAAATTGTATAAAAATGAAGTGTTATAACTAAGCACCATTTGGCATTCTCAGCTTATCATTTTTTAAAAATTCAGTATTATTTTATTTCACTTCCAAATTCTCTCCTCCCTTGGCCCAGCTACTCCCATTGAGAAGGCAAGAAAAACAAAGCCCATTACAACAACTATGTATAGTCATGCAGAACAAATTCCTGGCCAATCCCACAAAAAAGGAAGAAGGAGAAAAAAATATGCTTCTCTTTGGACTCTGAGAGATCAGTTTCTCTTTTTGGAAATGATAAGTGTTGTTCTTTTCATACTAATTTATTGCATTGTAGATCATGTTAGCTATGTAAGTTGTTATAGCATCTTCTCTTTTTTCCCCATTTAGTGACCATTCAGATTTGACAGTAACTTAGTGCTATATAGCATATGTAGAAGTTTAACTGTAATTACTCTTTTCTGTTCAAAAATTTTAGGTGCTGAAGCTTAGGTCAGTGCCGTTAAGGCAAATGAGCAAAAAATGAATACCGTCACAAGCAACAAGAAGAAGTGATTTTGGTTGATTGGTACACATATCCAGAGTGTTAATGAGGCTGACAGTGTGTGTAGGCTTGATCTCCCTTCAGTCTCGGAGAGCTACCATATTCTATAGCCATGGACTGTATCTCTGACCCAAATGCCGTCACAAATACACAAATACCATGCTGTCTCTCATGAAAGGGTTTGAGTGAGAGTATAGTATCACAAGCATGTTCTTCATCTACGCAGGCCAATCCGTTCTCAAGTGTGGTTACAATTTTGAATTTAGTCTCGTCGATACATTACATAATATTCTGTTTTTCCATCTTGTCTGTTCTCCCTGTTGAAAAAGAGAAGCAACGCTGAACAACAGCCTGATGAAACTGAGAGAGCAGATTGTTAAAGCCAATCTGTTAGTGAGAGAAGCTAGTTTCATTGCAGAGGAGCTGGAGAAGAGAACAGAATATAAAGTCACCTTACAGATTCCAGCCTCCAGCCTCGATGCTAACAGGAAGGTGAGGTCTTGGATAATGGGATCAAGTATTCCATTGCATAAAAGCACTTTCCCCCGTGTTCTTTCATAGGTGTGATTCCTGAGGTTTGCCCAAACCTCTGTTCTAGCCAAGCTAACTTCTTGATGCTCCCCTCACGTGCAGCTTTCCTCTCCTGGTCTCCCTGCCTCTTGCAGGTGCCCCTCCTTCTGCTTGCAATGCTCTCTTCTCTCCCTTCTACCAACCCACCATTAGACTCCCACAGGTCTTCCATGATTAACTTCACCTCAGTCTGTTTACTTAGCATCTCTTTGGCACTTGCACATTGGGCTGATGTTATATCATTTTTCATTTGTTGATACTGTGTTCTATAAAACTGTTCTCCATTTTCTTCATATGTATATTCTAGATTGTAGGCAACTTGAGGTGAGGGGCAGTGTGTTTCCGTTTGTCCTACAGTACTTGTTCTAGCCATGAAGTAGTCAAATAAATTATTATTATTTCTCTAAGTTGAATATGTTTCTACCATCATAAGGCTGTGTCTTCTGTTTCATTTTGTGTTTTTTCTTTTAGTTTGTTTTTGGGCGGGATGGGGTGAGGTGTTTTCTGATTAAGTCTTATTCAAACCCTCTGTATACATGGTTGTTTTAATTGTTTCTTTTCCGTATATGAAAATCTCTTATAGGAAATATATTGTTTCTTTATATTAATTATGTGTGTAGAGGGGGAGAATTCATCTGCCTGAAATTTGATTCTTTTGTTTGCCATTTACTAAAAGTATACTTAGTGTCATTGAGATCCATGGTCATGAAAAACCATGCCTGAAATACATTTAGGGGCTAGAGATGTGGGAAGAAGTCTGATGCAAGGACCAGGAAGAACAAGGTCACAGACTGCAGCCATAGTCACCTTGCCTGCTGTGTAGGGGTAGAAAAGCTGGAACTCAGTCCTCCATAAGCTAACCCTGTTGCCAGCTGGGTTCATTTTGGCAATCTAACCTTCTCCTAAGAACTGACCTTGTGTTAGTGCCTGACCCTGGGCTTTACCTCTTATAATGACAGTGTGGCTGTCATTATTTCTGACCCAGCTCCCTTGTCCCACTGAACTCTGCTCTGGCTGCCTAGCCTACACATCTGTTTCCGGTCTGTCAGTGGTCTTCATCTCTTATCTCTCACCATCCTGCTTCTACATCCCAGCCGTCTGCCTTCCTAGCCCACTGGGTTTGGTCCCAGCTCCTTAATATTCATGCTTTCCTTCCTGGGAAGAGGGTTTGGCTTCTTCCCTTCCATTCTCTCCATGCCTTATCAGAGGCAGGAGCAAGCTGCCAGCAGCTCCTGCCATTTTTGTTCCTGCTCGGCCACATTTGGGAACAATCTCTGTTACTCGGTCCTGGCCAAAAACCTGTCCAGTGGCAGGACGTTCTGTTTAACCATCATTCGGCTAAATGGGGCAGCCCTAAAAGAGCATGTAACTAGGTTCAGTAGAAATTACCTAGAGCACAGGATGGACTCTCGATTGCTACTTCTGAGAAGCCCCAGATCATTGTTGCTTTCATGTCGAGGAGATAATTTCTTCAAAAATACCCCAGCCTGGCAGTTAGCTTTCAAGTACAGTAATGACTGCACATAAGATAGCAGTGTAAGCATGTGTTCATTTCACAGTACTCTGAAATTCCCAAGAGGTGTGTCAGACCAGTCAAAAAACTCCACTCAGTCCAAAGTTAGAGCTGAAGATACTGTCTCTTCCTTGCCTTGTAGCGCTACTCACTTCTGTATACCTGGTTACACTCTATGGGAAATTTTTGCAGTCTGCCCTAGTATTTTTCAAGCTACCACCAAATAATTTTTCCTAGCTCTCCTTAATGGATTTTGTTGATCTAGTTGTAGAGCTGCTGTAAAAATTCAGTTCATTGAAAATGCTAGATGTTTTGTGACGTATCTAAGTTGGTGAATTTATATTAAAAGGTTTTTTTTTCCCCAAACCTGAAGTACTATATAAACATGAGTTGTTAGTAGAGTACAGCTATATTAGCAGCTTGTTATATTTTGTTCGACAAGTGTACGTTCAGAGTTACTTTTGCTTTACTTTACATTGTGAATCTCTTTAACACCTCTTCCAGTAACTCCCCATGTTTTTGCAGCGAGGCTCACTTCTCAGTGAACCTGCAATCCAGGTGAGGAGAAAAGGCAAAGGCAAACAGATATGGTCCTTGGAGAAACTGGACAACAGATTGTTGGACATGAGGGACCTTTATCAGGAGTGGAAGGAATGTGATGAAGACAGCCCAGTAAGTAGTAATCAGTGTATAATAGCTAAATTGGTATTGCATGTAAGGACCACACAGGAATTAGGAAACTGATTTTGCAGTAAAAATCTTTAAGCCCACTCCAGTTCATAGCATCAGAATTACTTGTAGATTTCTGCAGTGTTTAGGTAACCAGAAATTCTTTTTAAAAAAATCAATGTTCTACCATTCCTTGATTCTCCTGATTCAGAGCATGTTTAATTAATTTCCAAAAGTATTTTGTCTCGCATTTGATCACTTAAACCTCTTAGACTGATCACTGAAAACAATTCTAAGTGATTGTTGGAAACTAAAAATTGAAAAAAATTAATTAAAATTAAAAAAAAATGATTCCAAATGCAGTGAAGATGTATTTACTTTGCATTTCACATCTGCGTCTTTATGTGTTCTGTGGTCATTTTCTAAGAAGTCCAGTCATTTTGCTCCATGTTGCTACACTCATAAAGGGATAGTATTGGGGTACAATCCAGGGTTCATTTGCAATTCTTTCTGCCATTTCAGAACAAATATTAAGTGATAAGTTATTAAATGGACATAACTTCTGTGCTTTTTAAGAGATTTCAGTTTTTAATATGAATGTGAATAGAAATGTGTTTGTACTTAGTGAGGGCTCTATTCACAGAATTATAATAGCTCTCATTTAGATAGCACATTATGTTTTACAGAATGCTTTCTTAGTGACACTGTGAGGTTGGTAACGTAAATACTGTTATCTCCATCTTAAGCATGTTCAGAGGGGTTTAAATGCCTTCTTCGTGATAGTCACACGCTAGTAAATGTCAGAGATAGGAATCCAAGCTCATATTCTGACTCCAAATCTACGTGGTGCCACATTGGGACCATTGGAAGAAAAGATATTTCTGATGTATTTCTCCCACTATAACCACCATGGGTATTATTTTCACTGGTTTTAAAAAGGAAATACATAATTTTTCCTCTTTTCTGTAATTTTCCTTTTTCCTCTTGGATGACTTTCTGTTATGGTTAGCAGTAGAATAAGTGTTCTTCTAAAGGCTATGCAAAAGCTATTCTAAAAGAGTTATAATGACCCTATTTGCCTCAAGTAAATGAAAGAGCTTAGAGTGATTTCTAAACCAGGTGTAGCAGCACACCCCCTTGTGGGACCTTTGAGGTCCCTTCCAACACTAATATTCTGTGAGGTTACAGTAAAAATGAAGGGTTCAGTCCCTTTTACATATTCATTTATTGGCTCATATTGGGATAGGTCAAGAGAAAAGCGCTAATTTGGATTCATGTCTTCTAAGTAACTTTCTGAAGCTGTGTGTTCTGAATTTCATTAAAGGTAACAAGGTCTTACTTCAAGCGAGCTGATCCATTCTATGATGAGCAAGAGAACCATAGTCTTATTGGTGTGGCCAATGTTTTCCTCAGCTCTCTTTTTTATGATGTGAAGTTACAATATGCTGTGCCAATCATCAACCAGAAAGGAGAGGTTGGTTGTATTTTTTATTGTGTCCCCTGTATTTCTCATCTCACCTCCAAGAAAGTGATTTTCTCTCCTGTTTCTTTCTTTCTCTGCGTGTATGTACACACACATATATACATATATTTATAATTGTTTTAAGAAAAAGAGGAGGAAGATAAACAATCAGCAAAACTCATATGCAGGGGCCCATACCTGTTCTCCTCCCACCATTGTAAAGGGTTGGACTGGGAAGGATTTCTTTTCAGGTGTCTTCTTTGAGGCCAAAATTGTTTTTGTCATTTTGCAATATTCACTTTCAATTGGTTTGTGGTGCTTGTTTTCATTTATGTTGTTGTTATCATTGTGTATAGTGTTTTCTTTGCTCGGTTATAAAGTGATCAAATAAAAAGCAACAAAAAAAAGTTTTTTTTTAAAAAAAGCACACTCATAACTGGAGTAATATTCGGTGCTCATAGCTCCACCACGTCAGTATAATAAAAAATGACGGTACTACCAACATTGTTAATGTGATCACTCTCAAGTTCTTGTGTCTGGCAAGTAAAATTGAAGAAATAACGGGTAGTTTTATTAATAAAAATGATTGTGATAGCCTTTGCTAAGGTACTACTCTAGTGCCTCATCAAGGGGGAAGGTGACCCTGTGTCCTTAATTTTTCTACTAGTAGAGTATATTTTCTATAAGGTCCTATCAAGTTGGAAGTACTTGGAGTGCAGGCCTGGCAACATACTTGGTGTATGCCAGGCATCAGTGGACTGAATTAGCTAAATCAGGGAGCCTCATCACCGTGCTGGCCACAACGTATGTAAAAGAATTACACAGGCAACTCCTAAAGAGCATCTACTGAGTTGTAAAGGAAGGCATTGTGATCCGTATTGGTGGAGAAAGTCCCCACACTTTACAGATTATTGAACCTTGAAGGATTGATCATGGGCAGCCATACTGGTACTTGGCAAACATTGCAAGCCTTGGATAATCACAACTGCTTTGTAAAGAAAATTAGAGACTTGTTTAGTGGCATAGTAGAGGTCCGAAGCCATAGCTACAGCCACCTTATTTTTACTGCCCCAAGCAGTGGAATCTAAAGCTGACATTCATTTTTCAGAGGAAAAAAGAGGAAATATCGCTTTCCTTTTCCTTCTCACCTTCTCAGGTGGCAGGTCGGCTTCATGTAGAAGTGGTGCAGATCAGCGGTGCTATTGGAGAGCGAATTGCAGGTGGGGACGACAGTGTGGATTTTTCATTTGATAAGGACACACAGGACCACAAATTAGTGTGCATGGTAAGTCGAGTTTTATTTTATTTACCCAAAGCAGTGGGTAGGTATGAGGGGAACTTTTTTAAAACCACTGTGGTTCATTGTAGGGCTTTTGAGATGGGAGAAGATGAAAATTTTGTGTTGTTGTTTTTTTTTTCCTTATGGTATGGTGATCGATGGTAAATTATTTGGTACAGAGACCTGTCTCAAAAAACCATATAGTAATTTTAGAGACATTCTTTTATCACATTATATCAATCTAGGGTATAAATTGAACTAGTTTTTTAATATAAAAAAATAAAATTTAGGTTTTGACATACGTATCATATAGATTGGGATTTGTCTTACGGCTTCTCTGAATAAAGGAAAATAGATGAGTATCAGCCCAGGCCTGTCCCTTGTGTACTTGGCTCAGCGTATATGCTCACTATTTTCTGTATATGCAATGCTTTTCCCTTTTTGCATCTTGACATTCATACTATTCTCTCTTAGATGAGAATGAAAGCAGAATAAATGGCTCCCTATGTTATTGGATTTAAGGCACACCAGGCAAGATCCCCACATCCTTAACATATATCACTGGTGCCCTAAATTCCAGCACAAAGATTTCATTCCTTTGGGACTAGAAAGCTTTTTGGTTTTTTTGTACCCTCTATTAAAATACATATGCCATTGAAAGGGTGTGATACCTTGAACTGTCAGATAAAGCCAACTTTGACAGATAGTTGGGAGTGGGGATAATAGATTGTAGATGATGGTTATGCTGGCAGTGAGAAGTGGGAGATTTACACAGGCATTGTAGAATTCAGAACTGAAAGGGAATTTAGACATCATTTAGTCCAACCTTCCCATTTTGTTATAAACTGAGGACAAGAGAGTTTAAGTGACTTTTGCTCAAGGTCATTTAGGAACAGGTCTAGGATTTGAACCTAGTTCTTCTGATTCTAAGCTCCATATACCAGACCACTTTACCCTTATTATTCAGTAATAGTTTGTTGAACTTAATTACTTGGACTTCTGGTCTCCATCAAGGTTGAGGAAGCTAAAGCTGCTGGGAGGTAAGGACCAGTCCCTTGTGGGGCAACTTATTATTTAGTCTTTTTAGTTGTGTCCGACTCTCTGTGATCCCATTTGAGGTTTTTCTTGTCAAAGATACTGGAATGGTTTACCATTTCCTTTTCCAGCTGATTTTACTGATGAAGAACTGAAGCAAATAGGGTTAAGTGACTTGCCCAGGGTCACATAGTAAGTGTCTGAAGCTGGATTTGAACTCAGAAAGATGAGTATTTCTGACTCCAGGCCTGGCACTCTATCCATTATGTCACCTAGCTATGCTCTGGGGCAACCTAAGATTGGGCAAAAAAACAACAGCAACAATACATTTTTTCCCCCTACGTTGGGAAAATTAAATGACTGCCCTCAGAAGGCTGTTTGAGTTTAAGGAATATGGCAGGGCCAGAGCTTAGAGTTTGGGCATGGTTCAGTTCTGGTCATGCAGAACAGAAAGGTGAAAGAGGTGAAGCAGGGGCCTGCTCTAGGAGCAGCTTAATTATCTCCTGGGTGTGAACATGGAAGTGCAGCAAGCCAGGACCCTCTTTGTAGGCAGTGATGAGCAAGGAGCCTTCCTGGGGAGCAGGGCATCCTGGGGACCAGAGGTGGATTGGGAAGCTCCTCCTTTCCTGTTTCATGATTAGCCCTCACATCCTCTTGGGGTGACTGGGAAGAGAAGCAGGGGGAAATGGGGTGCACTTTGTGATGGACCCCTGCATCCCTTTCATCAGAAGTCTTCTCTGCTCCCTGGAATTTTGTCTTCAAACCTGCCTGATGCTAGAAATCTAGCAGTTAGGCAGGAGGACCCAAAATGAAAATCAACAGTGGAACAGAAGCATCCAGTAAAATAAAGGACTGTCACTCAAAGGTGGTTATTAAATTCATATAGGAATACCTTACCCCTTCCCCACCCCCACTTCCCCTGGCCAAAAAAAAAAAAGCTTTTTAGGCGCATCAATACATAACTGATCTTTCCCCAGGGGTTTGGTTAGTGTAATGAGGTGGCTAAATAAGAGGAAAGATTCAGAGGATCTGGTTTTAAATCCTGGTTCTGTTAGTTATAAAATTATGTGTATGTGGAAGGGCAGCCTCTGTGGCAGTAGCTTTGTGGCATCCTGTGGATCACTGTGTTGCTTGCCCTTGGTGTGGTTCTTGGGACTTGCCCCAAGTGCAAATATGGCTCTCATTCTGTGTGTGTTATGTCATAGGCAGTCACTAAATAATTGTTGGATGAATGGAGAGGAGTTAGTCAATTTAAGGGAACGTTTTTTCTCTTCCATTAAAAGGCTCATCCTTGCATCCTGGTGATAAATGCTGAAATATCCATGGTATGGGTAAGGATTGGGCCTGGGGAAAGACAGGAAGAGTTGCACAAGTAACAGATAGTGTTTTTCTGGAGATGGAGAAACAGGTACAACCAAGCCTGTGCAAACAGATTCAGACATTCTGAGGGAAAGAGTCTGAGTGCTTGGCCTGGCTGAAGGGTTTCAGCAGTGTGAATCATGGCAGTGGTACCTCCTTCAGTCCTTCAATCCTTGACATTCCTTCTTTTGGCTGCTTCAGGTGGACCCTACTACATGCAGAGCACTGTGCTAAGGGAGTACCTAGTCACAAATGAAATAGCTCTTTCTGTCACTGATCTTTAGAGGGTGTGTCTTAAGGTTGTTCAGTCAATCTAGAAATATCCTTGGAACTAGCAGTTTGTGGATAGAATATTGTAGAAAAATCAGCTTTGACTCCCAGAGTGGAAATAAACACAGGGGCAGTATTATAGCATTGAACAGTAGAATTATCTCCTGTATAAGTAGATTTCACAGCCTTTTTAGGGGAAAAGAGGGATATAGTGGATGGGGATTGCAGGTCCGTCATAGGACACTGATCTTATTTCTTAACATGCAATTTAAAAAGACTTGCAAAGTAGATCTTAGTGATTTCTCCCTTGTAAGCAGGGCCTACAGAAAATTCTGTGCTATCATGACACCTTTTGGTGACTTTTGTAACTGCACCTAAAGATTTAAGGATAAAATATTCTCAAAGTATTCCTGATTTTGAAGTTGGATGTTGTCTTATAAAGTTAAATATAAAGGAAGTTTTTCTCACAGACATAATTTTAAAATTGGAAATGTGTTTTCATAGGAAGGTTTTGTCCACACAATATTGCAGAACAATTCACTGTACTAAACATAGCAAATCTTTGTAAACAGTTAATGGGAAAAACGATAATTTTCCTCCCAAAGTTAGCAGTTGTACAAAGAATGAATAAATTGGAATAGATTAGGTACACAGTACACAGTAAGAAATGACTGGAGTAATCTTGTGTTTGGTAAATGCAGAGTTCCAGACTTTTGGGACAAGAACTCACCATTTGACAAAAACTGCTGGGAAAATTACAAAGCAGATTGGCAGAAACTAGGTATAGACTAACACCTCATAGCATATACCAAGATAAGGTTAAAATGGGTACATGAGTTAGACATAAAGGGTGATACCATAAGCAAATTAGGAGAGTGTGGAATAGTTTACCTGTCAGATCTGTGGTTAATGGAAGAGTTTATCACAAAACAAGAGATAGAGAGCAAAACAGGATATAAAATGGATCATTTTTATTACATTAAATTAAAAAGGTTTTGTAAAAACAAAACCAATTAAGCCAATTTTAGAAGGAAAGCAGGAGATCAGAGATAATTTTTTTTACAGCAAGTTTCTCTGATAATGGCCTAATCTCTCAAATATATAGAGAACTGAATCAAATTTATAAAATACAAGTCATTTCCCAGTTGATAGTCAAAGGATATGAACAGGCAGCTTTTAGATGAAGAAATCAAACTATTTGGAGTCATATGAAAAAATGCTCTAAATCACTGTTGATTAGAGAAATTCAGTTTAAAACAACTCTGAGGTACTACCTCACACCTATCAGATTGGCTAATATAGAAAAGGAAAATGACAAGTGTTGGAGGGGATGTGGGAAAATTGAGATACTAATGAACTGTTGGTGGAGTTGTGAACTGATCCTACCATTCTGGAGAGCAATTTGGAACTGTGCTCAACAGGCTATAAAACAGGCATACCCTTTGACCTAGCAATACCACTACTAGGTTTGTATCCCATAGAGATTTTTAAAGAAATGAAAAGGACCTATAATGTACAAAAATATTTACAGCAGCTCTTTTTGTGGTAGCCAAGAATTGGAAATTGAAGGGATGCCCATCAATTGGGGAATGCCTTAACAAATTATGGTATATCATTGTGATGGACTGCTATTGTGCTGTGAGAAATGACAAGCAGGATACTTTCAGAAAAACTTGGGAAGACATATATGAACTGATGCAAAGTGAAGTGAGCAGAACATTGTACGCAGTAACTAACAGCAATATTGAATAATGATCCACTATGAATGATTTAGCTATTCCCAGCAACACAAAGATCCAAGACAACTCTGAAGGACCTATGGTGAAAAATGCTATCCCAATCCAGAGAAAGAATTGGTGGAACCTGAATGCAGTTTGAAGCATGCTGGGTTTTTTTCTTTTTTCAAACTTTCTTTATTTTTTTTTTCCTGTTTTTTCTTTCATGACTAATATGGAAATGTTTGCATGACTGCATATGTATAACTTTTATGAAATTGCTTTCCTTCTCAATGATGGAGTAGGGGAGGGAGGTTAGGAAAGAATTTGGAGTTCAAAATTATCAAAAATGAATGTTAAATTGTTTTTACATATAATTCAGAAAAAATAAAATGTTAATTTTTCAAAAAGAATGACTAATTACTAAAAACTGTGATGACTCCCACATTAGGTGCTGATATAACTTTCTGTGGGAAATCCTTGGATTCAGCCTATATATTTAAACCTTGTTTCTTTAGGCTATGTTACCATCAGAGAAGCACTGAAAAAAATTCATCCAAAGTGAAAACTTTTAAATAATGCTGTTTATATGATGCCCTACATCATTATTTCTTTCTCATAAAACTTTTAATATTTATAACTCTCAGAGTTTGGAGGGGTTCTCCAGACTCAGCTAGATTTTAATAGAAAAGCTTCTTATAGCATTTCCTGTAAGAGGTCATCCATCTTCTCCCTCAGGAATTCTTAACCAATTTTGTGATATGGATCCTCTTGGCAGTCTGATGAAGCCTCTGTGGAACCCTTCTTAGAAAAAATGTTTTTAAATAGTTGAAGGAAATGTTAAGCATCAGTTAGAAGTTAGTGCAAATAGAAATGTAACTGTTTTTCCCATCCAAATCCATGGACCCCTCATTTAAAACCTTTATTTTTCTTGAACATGTCTCATGGTTACAGGGATGGGATGGGAGCAGTGAGGAGGCACAGTTTTTCCTAAGACAGCCCATTCTAACTTTTTGATAGCTCCAATTGTTAGAAATTTCTTAGTATTGACTTACATTGGCAGTGGCCTCTCTGCAACTTTTCCCTACTTCTAATAGGTCTGTCTTCTGTGTGAAGGTAGAACAATCTTTCTTTCCTGTGCAAATCCTCCTAATAATAGAAGGCAGTTCTGCTCTTGCTAATTTCTTGTCTTCTCCAGGTTAGACATCTCTGGTTCCTTCCACTGATCATCTTACTGCATGGTTTTCAGGCCTCTTACTATCGTTCCTTCAATCATATTGTACACATTCAATTTTTCTCAGTTTCCTTCTTAAAACATAGTTAATGTGATCAGACCCAATACTTGCAGTCTGGCCTCTGACTAAACTATAGTGTAGTTTGTCTCTGTGTGTATACCTTTGTAGGTTTGTTTATACCCGCTCGCATGCACGTGTATACACACACACATACTTATACATATACATGTATGCTAACATTTGTCACCTCTGTTCCACTGAAAAACAAATTTAAAACTTTATATTTTAAAATATTAATATAATTATGTAGCACTTTTACTTTTTCAGTTTCATCTTCACAAAAATCCTAAGGCATAGGTATAGATCAAGAGATGATTTCATTTTTTTTGACCTTGAGGTTCACAGGTTAAATGACTCACTCTAGGCAGGGTAACAGCTAATCAGTAATATGTCATCAACTAAAACCCAGGTTTCTTCACTCCTTTTACCATTATACCACAGTGCTACAACTTGACTAGAGGAAAACTCTTATAATTCTTAAGTTCTATATTTTCTTGCCATGCTTTTTGCCTTGACTTTACTGATTTTGAAAAATTATTTTTCCTGCAGGTTAAAATACTTCAAGCTACAGGTTTGCCACAGCATCTCTCAAATTTTGTGTTCTGCAAATACAACTTCTGGGATCAGGAACCAGTCATTGTCGCACCTGAAGTAGATACCTCATCTTCTGCTGTCGGCAAAGAGCCTCAGTGCATGGTGGTCTTCGATCACTGCAATGTAATTTTTATTTTTCAGAATTGCTTGATGTTAAGACTACTGACAGAAATGTAGTGTATGTATGTATGTATGTATGTGTGTATGTGTATGTATGTAAGTGTATGTATCTGCGCGTGTGTGTGTGTGTTTACAAATTTGACTTCTTAGAAATAATTTGGCACCAGCATATGTTAAAGGCCTCCCAAAAGAGAAATTGCACCACTTTCTTTATTTACCCATTTTGCATTTAGCACTTTTTTATTAAGAAATTTTCACTTCTTTAAATACTTCGTGCTAGCGGTTCTCAAAGTGTAGTCTGGGGACCTCTGAGAATCCCCAAGACCTTTTGAGTGGTTCCATGAAGTCAAAACTATTTTCATAATAATACTAAAAAGATATCTTAATTTATAGTACAGTATGTATCAACAAATATAACCCACGTATACAGAACTTTTGGGGAGATTCCTACCTCACTAATTTTTATGAATGGTAAAGGGTCCTGAGACTAACAAGTTTGAGAACTGCTCTTTTATGCCTTATTTTAGACACCACAGCACAGTGGATACAATGTAGGTCCTAGCGTTCAAGTCCTACCTTTGACGTTTATTAGTTCTAGCACATTCCTTAACTTCTCTGATCCCAGGGCAGCTCTTTAATACTTACTTACCATATGACAGGTGAGTTCCAGTCAACATTGGTGATTGATCCTCACTGATGAGATCACTTGCTCATTCATATATTGATGGGATATCTTAAGTAAAACTCATTTCTCAGTTTTGTGGTTAGAGCCGGAAGTTAGGGGTTCAGCACTTTTCTGTGATTTTGGCAATTCTGTGTGTTTGCTTCCATCATTAGGGTGGATTATTCCTTATAATGGAACCAACACATTGTCAACTCTTATTCAGAGTCTCTTGGCTTATTCTTGCCATATTTTGTCTTTATAATTATACTTGTTTTTGTATGCCATTTTAAAAGAGCAGCTACATGCAGAATAAATATTAGATGTGGTTCAAAAGCACCCAGGTTTTGTTTTGAAAATGTATAGTGTGTGTGTGTGTGTGTGTGTAATGTATATACACATATTTTTTAATGTCAAGAATTTGAGGCCATCTGGGAATAGCTCTTGAGTGTCTGCTCTTGCTATTGTAACGATAAAACACCTGACATTTTTCTGTTACTGTACTCCATGCTAAAGAATGCATTATAGATCAGGCATGAGCAATAATAGAGTTTTTGGGGAGAGAACAAAGCTGCTTTTTCATTAACCAACCTTTTCTGTTCTGTGTAGGAGTTTTCTGTCAACATCTCTGAAGATTTTATTGAATATCTTTCTGAAGGGGCTTTGGCAATTGAAGTGTATGGCCACAAGATGAGTGATCCTCGAAAAAACCCAGCTCTTTGGGATTTGGGAATTATCCAAGCCAAAACACGGAGTCTCCGGGATAGGTGATTTTCAGATGTCTGATTCCATTATTTAAAAAAACCACAAGACATTATTTAAGTTCACCTTGAAGGGCCAGTGCTGCTATTTCTGATGACTGTCATTCGTCAAGGAATCATCAGTGTACCCCATCATTTGAAATAGAACTAGTGCTAAAGCCATGTAATTAAGATGTTGTAGAAAGATGGGATATTCAGAAAAACGGGATCCATTTTAAGTCATGATTAAGATCCTCTCCGGAAGATTAATCTTCCTAAAGAAATATGCTTTAAAGAACAATTACCAAAAAAGTTCAGTGAGCAGGTGTTTCAGATGGAGTGGTTAATGGTTTACGGTTGGCTAGGGAACTTATTGGGAATTGTTTTGTAATTAACAGCCTCTTAAGAGAGCACTGAAACTTCTGCAGTTGGTTTCATGTTAACTAATTGAGCTTTATTTGGAAACCTCTTATTCTCATGTATTCAAGTAACTGGTGTGAAGGGAGTTGAATTTGATTGTTGATCAGAATGCTGTCATAATTAGAAGAAGGCTTCCAAAGAAATGTATGCTTCTATATATTTCATTACGGTTAAGTAAATTCAGTTTTGAGCAACAAATTTTATTTGGGAATTTTAGGAGATAGGTTTTTGTGAGTATAAACTAGAAGTTACCTTATAGATTTGTTTCTCACTCTCTTAATTCAACTTTCAATTCAGCTAACAATTATTACGAAGTACCAATTATATGTAAGACAATGTGTTAGGTAGGCACTGAAGATACAAAGACAAAACCCCAAAATTTCTTTATCTCAAAGGATTTATATTCTACTGGGAATATGATATGGCCACAAGAAAACAAACAAAAAATAATTTGAAGAGGGACAGAGTACTAATAACTAGCATTATCAAGAAAGTCTTCATGCAGAAAAGTGGCTGGCACCTGAGCTGTGCTTTTAAGGAAGCTTGGGATTCTGTAAGGTGGGAATGCATTTTAGATGTGGAACACCACTTGTATACAAGAGATATAGACGTGGTAAATGGAGTTTTGTATACAGGGACAAGCTAACAGAACAGTTGATCAGGACAGAGATCTTGTGCAGTGAATAAGATGAAATAAAACTGGAAAGGTAGGTGGGAGGAAGATTATAGAGAACTTTAAATGCCAGACTGAAAAATTTGTATCTTATCCTAGAGGCAAAAGGGAGCCACTAAAATTTTTTGTTCTGTGGGAGACCTAGTCTGATTTGTTTTAAGGATATCATTTTGGTAGCTGTGTAAAGGATAGTTGGAAAGGGTAAAGATTAGAGGCAGGAAGGTTCTTTAGGAGTCTATTGCAAATAGTCCAAGAGAGCAGTGATGACCTGAATTGAATAGACAGTATACCTTGAGAAAAGAGGGTGAAGGGGAAATATGTTGACACTCTATTGCATGTAGGGATTGATGTGGAGGGAGAAGCCAAGGATGAGTCCAGGATTGTTGAATTAATGGCTTTGGTCAAATCATCTATAACCATAAGGTATTAATTCTGATGGAGCCATTTCCAAGTAGACTTAAAATGAGTTCAACTGTGAAAATATCTTCCTTTACTTGAGTGTGTGGACCCTACTACTAATTAGTAAATATCATCAATAACTTCTTCACTGAAAGAATAGTTAAACTCTTAAACCGTAAAGTTACTCGTCTACATTTCATGGGAACTTTAAAAGTGTCCAGTTTCAGTTGTAAACTCTTAGTCTTGGAACACTAGTATTTAGTTTCAGATAAGACCTTAGAGCTCTGACTTCTTCTTTTCAGAGACTGTTATATTGATTCCTTGTAACATTGACTGCCCCAAGAACACTTATGGTAGTAAATAGCAGAGGTAAGATTAAAACTCAAATTCTGTGATGCCAAATTCAGTACTTTTTCCATTACATGATACTAGCTTCTATGCAGCATTCTTCAAACAGCCAGACATTGTAACAACTATATGCCCTATGGAATATTAGTATTTTTGCTATTTTGCGAGCTTAAGTGTAAGGTCTACATAACTTTGTTTTAAAGAATCATTATTTTTTGCTAATATGAATATTATATGGGTGAGTGTAGATTTTTCTTTTAGAGAGTAATATGATTTTATTCATCTGCTTAAACATTTTGCAAAATGGAAAATCTGATTTTAAAGCTCTTAAATGTTTACTAGATGGAGTGAAGTCACCAGAAAAGTAGAATTCTGGGTTCAAATTCTGGAACAGAATGAAAATGGAGAATACTGCCCAGTGGAAGTGATTCCTGCAAAGGACATACAGACAGGAGGTATTTTCCAGCTACGGCAGGTAAGGGGATTGGAACCAGAACAATAGAAATGTTACATATGTATTAAGCACCTACTATATGCCAAACACTGTGCTAAGCACTAGGGATGCCCCCCCCCCAAAAGCAAAAGACATTTCTTGCCCTTAAGGAACTTACATTTTAATGTTTCAGTTTGGCTAAGGCCTTTCTCTTTAGTTAATGTCTACCCAGTCCTCTTTCATTATGCTTTCGTAGTAGTCATAGGAGCTTCTGTTTACCACCATTTGTTGAAAAGTTATATGCTATTTACTGAAAAGGTATAATAAGAAATAAAATATCTTCCTTGCCTTTAAGGAGATTATCGCACAATTACCTAGAGTAAATAACTAACAGATAGAGTATCAACAGGGGCAAAATGCTACAGTGGAAAAATAACTGGGAAAAATTAGTCTGTAGTATATTATTGCCATGTGGGGAGGGGAGCCACAGGATGCTGTTAAAGCAATATGCATATAAGGTTAGGAAATAAGCTTTCTGTCACATGTGCATTAGTGAGATTTTTATTAGAATATTTTATTGTCTTCTGGTAACCACATTGAGAAATTAGAGCGGATCTGCAGAAGTAGAGATGAAAATGTTTCAATAAATAGAAAATACATCTTAAGAAAAAAAGATTAAAGGGAAGAAATGAGCATCTCGATGAATACAAATGGCTTGTGTGAGGAAAGATGTTGAGGGAGTGACTTTTTGTGTGCCCTTGGAAACCTAAACAGGAGATAATGGGTTTTGATTGAAGCAAAAGGTGTTTGCATCGGACTTAAGATAGAATTTGAATACAATGAGAGACCCTAGAATCCTAGAGCTTTAGAACTGTAAGAAATCTAGTTAAACCTAGTTAAACTCCCTTATTTTGATGAAGGAATTTAGGCCTGGAAATGCTAAAGAATTAAAGGTCTTCAGGAAGAGAGGCCTCAGTTGTCTGTCCTGGGAGCATTAAATGTAGATCCCTAAAAGGGAGCAATAGAATGGATCCTCTCTAGCTCTAAGAGTCACTTCTTGTTGACTTAATGAAGCAAATAGAAAGAATTGGACATTAACTGAAGGGGTTGAGTCAGAGATGTATGTGTGGGCCACTGTTGAGGGCATTGAATACTATTTCAGCTTTTTTTACCGGAGAGTGGGATAATGAAAACTTTGTTTAAAAGAATTGTTCTGGTAACCGTATAGAATTGGTTGCATCAGAAGAAGATTGGAGACAGTGGCTTTGGTTTGGTCATTAGAATATTAGTTATGAGAAATACCTAACCTTTAAATTAACTTCCTGACTGACAGCTGTGTCCTCTTGTGCCTGGACAAATTGAATGAATGAAACGGTCCCTACTTGCAAGGAGCTTACATCCTTATGAGAGAGATAAATACATAGGTACATGTATACAGAATCAATACAAAGAGGGTAAAAACAAATATGATAAAGCATTTAACTACAAGATTCTTTGTCAGGGAGAGCACTAACATTTGCGGGAGAAACAGGAAGAGCAGGAAAGTAGAAGGAACCGAGAGGTCTGCTGTAAGTGAGACCCAGGTGAGGGGGGCACGCTTTGCAGGTGGGGAAGGCAGGGCACAGCCAGGTCAGAGATGCTGAGATATCAGGTGGAATATTGTTTTTGAGTATAAGGAAGCCATTTCAGGGTGCAGGGAGAGAAGTACCAAAGAGACCAAAGAGAAGGTAGAGTGAAATCGGGAAGGGCTTTAAAATACTAAACAGAGTGATTTAAATCTAGAAGTTTAGGGACTAGAACTGGACAGTTTAGTAGAATTCACATCTCATTCATAGCACTTAGCAGCTGGTTTGGGCTTTGCTTAAGTGTTGTTTAGAGGGTTTTCAAATTGAGAATTTTTAGTTTTGGTAAATGGCAGTTTTGCCCAGTTTGGGAATTGAATTTTTAAGTTTGTTATATAGATTATATATTAGGATTTGAACTCTATCATTTTATGTGCAATGTAGGGAAGAAGACTAACACAGCCTCCCATTTTTTTAGTTAACATGTAGTTTAATCTCTTGTGGTAGGTCAGAATTTTTTGTTTGGCCAAACTTCCCCACGACCCCCCCACCCCCACCCCCACCCCCAGTAAACCACTATTGTAGCTCTTTGAATATGAACTAAACCAAACTATGTGAGGACATTATCAAATTTTATTTTCTTAGTTTTTTAGCAGAACATTTGTTATAATATGCTTGGATAAATATTAAATCAAGAGTCATCTGTATCCCATCTGTCCAAATCAAGCTTGGTAGGATCAATCAGTGCCCAACTTGATTTTCATGATAAAACAAAGCCCTCGGCAACTAAAGACTGTTGGAGAGGGAGGAGGCCAGCTTACGTGTAACTGTAGATTCATATGTTTTCTTCTCATTTCTATTTTGAGGTTTCTAAAATTATAAACTAATTTTGAAGAGTATAATTTGGAATGTTTTCTTTTAAGATTCTGTTTCTTGGAAAATATGCACAGATCTCACAGTATTAGCCTTGTGTACTAAGAACTTACTCCTGAAGTGTGTTGCATTTCCTCATTGATTGTCCTTGCTACATCCTCATTTTTTAAGCATATAGTTTTTACTTTTTGAAATGTTCAGTGATCCCAAGCCAGTAGAGTCTTCTGAACTTCTACCTGTAGAGGTCTCTCCATACTAAGTCTTTTGATGATTTAGGATCCTTGATTTTTAAATTGTCTCTGACATAGGGGCAGTCACGACGAATTCAGGTTGAAGTGAAGTCTGTGCAGGAGTCTGGAACTTTGCCACTAATGGAGGAATCTATAATGTCTGTTGGTGTAGGATGTGTAAAAATAAGACCTCTTCGATCCCCAAAGACTCATGAGATTTTCCATGTAAGTGCCATGTGTTTTAATGTTCTCTTTGGAAAAATAGTCAAAAAATACAGTCAAAGTCATCACGAGAACATCCTAGAAAACTTTCATTCTGAGGATGGTTCTGTTAGTGTATTGTCTTATTTTTCTTAAATGTCTTTTTAGTTCGCAGCATTTTGATGAAATCAGTTTGCTAGACTATAGGGACCCATCAGGAATGATGGCAAGATGAGAGTTAAAAACATTTCAGCAGCCAGAAACCCTAGTTTCTAATAGTGATTAGTCTTGTCAGATTTCCCCAACCCAGTGCATCTCCCTCCTACTGGATTATTCAAACTAATTGCCAGTAGGCACTTAATTTCCGCTAGTGAGTGAGAATATAAACCCAGCAGGGAAAATACCATACATGCTCCTGGAGAAGGCCTGATAAGTGTTCCTTACCTTCTCGTTAGAAGCTCAGACATTTAATTCAGAGGTTTAGGAAACAAAAAATCCTTAAGGGCCAAAGAGGGAAGTAGATTAATCAAATTAGAAAATTCATTAACTTAACTTTAAAAGGAGATAAAATATGTGAAAAAGAATCAGACTCAAATTAGGGAAAGAGAAAGTTATGACCTGATGTTAGAGCAACGCTACATGAAGTGTGCCTGAGTTTCATTTTTGATGACAAAGTGAAAATTGGATAATAGCTTATCCTTAATCAGTCACTTGCCTGCCTAAGATGTCAGAACAAATGAGGGAGCTTGTGTCAGAGTAGACTGAGGCCCTATAGTGGTTGAAAAGGGGCTGCTACAGTTTCCTTGATGACTGTAGGAATATGGTGGGAAAGCAATGACACGGACACTTTAGAACCACAGTGTGCTCTCTGCAGAATCAGCACTAGAACCTTCTTACTGTTCCCCGGCTCTCCAGCCTTCCTTGTTCCATTTGAGCCCAGGGAAGTTACTGTTCAGGTGAGTGGGTGGGAAGTGTCTGAAATAAGAAGTGCTTTTAAAGATGGAATGAATTTTAGGATGTGCAGGCTTTTTAAAAGTTTGAAAACTTTTACCTTTATGGTTTGTGCATAAATTCACAACACATGGTCCTAAAACACATTTTGATTTTTTTGTCTCTTTTCACTTATAACTGTGCTCAATTTGACTGAATTTGGCCAGTGCATTTCAGCTAAAAGATAGGCTTGCAAGACCAATTTGACAGCACATGCTTTAAGAGGAGTAAAAACTAGTGTACTCATCTTTTCTGTACCTTTATTGAATAACTCAGCTTTTTAATCCACATGGTCCCGTTAGGCCATAAATAATGAGGCCATTCTTTTATAGATAAAGCAGATTTCAGGTATTGATGGAGTTTTTTTTAAATTTCATTTTTTTTAGGAGGAAGAAGATGACATGGACAGCTACCAGGTAAACTATTTACTCACCGTTTTTATTATCGAAATGTATTATTAAGTACTCAATTGTACAGCATTAGAAGCTGTATAAAGATAACTATGCACACATGGACTCATTGGATCAAATAATGAGTTAATTCAAGATGCATTTGTATTTTTGATACTTTATCTCTTTTTTGGACTCAGCAGCTTTTTATCCTATTAAAGATGTCTTAGGCCCCAGCAGATGGGATGGGGGTGGGGAGGGAGGATATATTTGGGTTTTTTAATTGTTTCAAATTAATTTTTTTCAATTAAAAAGCATTTATTTTCTCTCTTTCCTTCTCCTTCCCCCTTCCCCCCCAAAAAAAAGAAAAGCCTTGTAACAGATAATGCATAGTCAAGCAAAATATTGGCCATAGCCAAAAATGTGTGTCCTATTAAGCGTATTTATTCTGCCACCTCTTTACCAGGATGTGGGTAGCATGCTTCACTGGTCCTCTGGAATCATAACTGATCATTGAGAGCAGGTGGCACTTAAAACCATCTTATTCATACTAAAAAAAATGGCTCCAAAAGTAAACCCAGTTTAATCCTTTTAACATAAAGAGAAAGGAGATCAACAACTATATTTCTTAAAGCTCCTTGCTGTTTTAGCAAGGAAAAGACTAGCCAGGACTTACACTGCTAAAGGCCCAAACCCTTGAACTGCTGGATGGGAACTTTTTTGTCTTTTTGATATTGTTCTTCCATTGCTTCATGCCTTAGTTCCTCCCACTTACCCAAAATCATAAGTCTCCTGGCAAATCCCCTCTTGTCAGGAAAAGGTTTTACTTCCCTCTCTCTTCCCTGCTTGAGCATTGATTGGGCTGTCTTCTATTGTTAATTAATTAGTTAGTTAATTAGTTTCAACTAGGACTAGAACCCCAGTCAGCTAATCATCGTCTCCCTCTGTCCCTAGACTCCAGGTTACCAAGTACACCAGGAAATATAAAATCTGCGTTATCTCTTTAATGTTTAACACTATTTTCTTAGAGTAATTTCCTCCTAAAAATCACTGACACCCTAGAACGTATCCCTGTCCTCTTATGTTGTTTCTAACATTGGTCATGAAAATTCTCATCAAGAAGGGTGTAGTTGCCCTGTAGCATCTTTGATAGCAGAGATACATCTAAATGATGGAATCAGCCTGGTTAAGCCGAGAGGGTGCTGGCATCAGGAGACCTAGGCCTGCATCCTGGCCCACTTCCCTTGGGAATCCTAACCATGCCACATAATATCTCTGAGTCTCTGTTTCTTCATCTTTAAAACTGGAATATACTTCTGCTGCCTTCCTCACAGAGTGCTTGCGTATGAGCAAAGGCCTATATACATTTTAAAGTGTTCTATAAATTATTGTGGTTACTCAACAAATGTTAGCTCTAGGAGTGGTAGGTACAGCCTGAGAATTAGTGTCTTGCACATAATAGATATCCCCTATTTGTGGAATAAATGAATAATTAATTTAAATTTTGGCTAATCTTATAATCAGATTTGTAAATCAGTGACATTTGGAGATCTCTAACTTGCTGAAATGAAAGCATTAATAAAATGACATAGATGAAAGAAGGGATTGTTTTGCTTCCCTAAACACTATTAAAATTTTATGAAGTGCCTTATATGTACCAGGCACTGTGCTAAGTACGGGGATGAAACAAAAAGCAAAAGCATTGCCGGCCCTCAAGCAGCTAACAGTCTACTGGGTGGAGACAACATCCAAACAGCTATATGCAGACTAAACAATCTTATAGGGAGGGTACGTGGAGAATCATGTATTATATTTAGTATACTATAAACTTTTATGGTATGACTGAGCAACGAAGTGTTCTACTTAATCAAGTGTTTGTTTCACAATAGTTCCATGGATTACTAGAATTATAATATGATAAAATATACTTTATATTCAGATTAAATATATTTTAATATTTGATAACTAAAAAGGTATTTTCGGGACCTTGCTAACTTTTTCTTTCAATTTATATTTTTTAAATTAATTTATTTTTAGTTTTCAAAGTTCACTTCCACAAGATTTTAAGTTCCAAATTATCTCCCTATCTTGTCCCTCCCCCCACTCCAAGATGGCATGCATTCTGAATACTCCTTCCCCTAATCTGCCCTTCCTTCTATCTCTCCCCCCTTCTTTTATCCCCTTCCCCTTCTATTTTCCTGTAGGGCAGGATAGACTTCTGTACCCCATTTCCTGTATTTCTTATTTCCCAGTCACATGTGAAAACATTTTTTTTAAACATCAGTTTTTAAAACATTGGGTTCCAAATTTTCTCCCTTCCTCCCTCACCACCCACCCTCATTGAAAAGGCAGGCAACTCAATACAGGTTATACATGTGTAGTCATGCAGAACACTTCCATATTAGTCATGTTGTGAAAAACTAAGTATATTTCACTTAATCCTATGTCCCCTCCTGTTTATTCTATCCTCTCTTTTGACCATGTCCCTCCTCAGAAGTGTTTGCTTCTGATTACCCCCTGCCACAATCTGTCCTCCCCTCCCCCATCATCCCCCTGCTCTCATCTCCTTCCCCCATGTTTTTCTGTAGGGTATGATAGATTTCCATACCCACTAGAATGTGTATGTTATTCCTTCCTTAAGCCAAATCCGATGAGAATAAGATTCACTCATTCCCTCTCATCTTCCCCCATTTCCCCTCCACTGTAAAAGCCTTTTCTTATGTTTTATGTGAGATAATTTACCCCATTCTACTCTTCCTTTCTCCTTCTCCCAGTATAATCCTCTCTCACCCCTTAATTTTATTCTCCAGGTATGACCCCATTCATCTTCATCTCACCCTGTGCTCTAGTATCTATCCATATAATCTTTTTCCCCTCCCACTACCCTAATACTGACATAGGTCTCATGAGTTGTAAACATCATCTTTCCATGCAGGAATGTAAACAGTTCAACCTTAATAAGTCTCTTATGATTTCTCTCTTGTTAACTTTTAATATGATCATTTTGAATTTACTGTAGTTGTGTTGGCAAAGTGTAAATGTACTTTATTATTTGAGATCTCCATGGTCAAGAGAATGTCATATTAGCCAGCATGTATTATATTATCTTATCCTTTCTTCCATCCTCACATTTCTAAGACTATTGCTTTGAGTAAGCTTACTGAAAATTTATATTATCTTTCAGAAAAAGTACATTTTAGTGTGATAGTTATTATGAGTTCCTCTAACATGAAAATTGTCTGTCATTGGTTCTTACCAATCACTGTTTTATTAATTTGATTATTTCTAAGATTAGCAAACTCTTTCTACCCAGTTATATATCCCTATAAGGCAGGAAAAATAATTAGATCCTTAGATGAATATAATTCTTTATCCCTCCACAGAGATCATAATGCTGAAAAATGTAATCTCATTTGAAATGGAACAATTATTTAGTACTTCAAAAAAATTGCCTAACTGCTTTTCGGATTGACATCTTTTACCCTCAAGATTGGTCAAGACGTAGCTGATTTTAAGTAGCAAGTTGTTTGTTTTGGGTAGGCTAGTCTCATCCAACTCAAATAGTGATTTACTATGTTATGGATTGTAGAATAAAATGGCTAAAACCAGTGAGACATCCCTAGAATGGAAATACCTAGAAATGTAAGAGTTATTCAGTGTGGCCAAATTCAGCCTCCTATCCAGTTCAGTCCTCGTTTCTACAACGTGCCTGAAAAGTGAGTATCTGATTTCTGCATCAGTACTTCTCAGGATTCACAGCCTAGCAAGGCACCACATGTGTGGTTTGTGGTAGTTTTAAAGAAAATTATCCAAAATAATGAATTGATTTGGTAAAAGACACTCTGGAATGTCATTAAGGACAAAAGATATTTGTAGATTTTGAACATTCTGAAAAGCTTCAAGCCCCATCTCTTGAGTTGTTAGAAAGACAAGTGACCGTGGTCCCAAAGGATATGCCACGGAAACAAATCTTAGCATCTCTTTTAATACTATAACTTCTAAGATGCTTGGTATGACTAATGCTAAAAAAAAGATTTCTGCTGGCAGCAGGGCAGGGAGTATGGTAGAGTCCAAAGAACTCAGGGCTCAGCATCAGAAAATGAGGGTTATGGTCTCTCTGACCCAAACTCCATGTGTTTCCTGTGCCTCAGCAGCTCCCTCATCTGTAAATGAAGCCTTGGGACGAGATGACACTTTCTGGCTCTAACATTAAGACACCAGAACACTATACAAGGGATCACGTTTTCAGTACACTCTGCCACGGGGGAAATAAACTAGCTTTGGCCAGAAAATCTTACCTGGAATCATGTTCACTCTGATTTACCTTATGTTTTCAGGATAGGGATTTGGAGAGACTACGTCGAAAATGGCTGAACACGTTAACCAAGCGTCAAGAATACTTGGACCAACAGCTACAAAAACTTGTCAGTAAGCCTGGTAAGAAAAGCACCAGCAGCCATACTTTTCTCAGGGAATGTAGCTGTTTAAATCAAGACCCAGATCAATGAAATGACTTGGAACAAGCCAGGGCTACCCTTGTTTTATTTGTACCATATCTTCTCACAGAGGGACACTCCACCTATTCTCAGTTGCTTCTTTTTCAATATAAGGCCTAAAAAAAAAAATCACCTTTCTGGTTAGGTTCAAAAGCAGATTTTCCCCTGAAGCCATAGAAAAGTGCCATAATTATAGTCCCCTGTGTAAGAGAGACAGCTGTCTTGTATAGCTTCTCCACCTTGCAAACCTTCCATGAACTGGAGAAGTCTTCTCTGAGAGGGCATATTTGAGCTTCTCATGTTTATCCTGACTGCCAGCATGGGGCTAGCTCGCTTGTGAAGGAGGGTATGGTTTGTTCCTGGGCCTAGACTGCAGCAGAACAGTAGTGCCTCAAATGACATTGGCCTGTGAGATTGTCTTTTTTGGTGTTCTCTCCTGATACCGCAGACAAAACAGAAGACGATGCTGACAGGGAAGCTCAGCTTCTAGAAATGAGGTTGACTTTAACTGAGGAAAGGAATGCCGTCATGGTCCCATCTGCTGGCAGTGGTATCCCTGGCGCTCCAGCAGAATGGTAAGAACAGAGCAGTATGCCCCTCAAAATCTGGAATGTTAACTATTCTGTCCTTAATCATGTGGGATTTCTGCTGCTGCCTTCTCTAGTGGCAGAGTCACAGGACAAGTATATGTTGTTTAAATTCTGAGACTGTGACTGATTGTCATAGGTTGAATAACTATAACCTAAAAATGTTTTTATTAAATAATGCTATTATTGACCAGGGTAATTAAGACCTTCTGAGAATGTGAATCAATATTTAGTACCACTTCACTTAGCTTTAAAAAATTAGTTAATATGTTAATTACTGGGTTCATTCACTTAAAAGCCTGCTTGGTCATAATAAAATTATGTCTTTAGGAGCTTTTGGTTTGGGGAACGCTTAAGCTGTTGAGTCAGCAGATATTCTGTGTCCTTTAAGAAATGGTAAAAACAGTTAAATTAAGCCATATGGAAGTCTCTCTGAATTTGTGCAAAAGAATGAGCAAAGGAAAGGGGACTTATTATAAGAAGACACATGTTTCTTATAAGAGCAGGTCCTCTTACATAGGCGTGAGCTGGTTAAAAGGAAGAAGCAGTTCCCCTGAGGTCCTTGCAGCATCGGTAACCGTAAATTATAGTAAAAACCGATACTCAAGGTGACCTCTGACCTGACCCGCAATAGCGTTGGATGTTTTCTAGATCTGTGCCCTGACGGACATGATGCTCATTAAATAGGCTTCATTTTAAATGCCACCTTCTCTTATGTCCTAGGACTCCAGTGCTTGGTATGGAAACTCATATTCCTGTTATATTTCTTGACTTGAGTGGTAAGTTTGGTATTTTCAAGGATCTGTTTTTCATGGGGGTAATGAGGTGTTCACGTAGTATGCCTGCTAACAGTAGCTTTAAGATTTACAGAACCACTTTACGTTTCTTGTCTCATTTGATCCTCACAACTCTAAGTGGACATTATCATTGCTGTGGAGTACTATTATTATCATTTTGCAGATGATGAAACTGAGACTCAGAGAGGTTATATAAATGGTCACAGACCTAGCAGTTGCCCGTGGCAGTATTCAAACCGAGAACTCTCTTGACTGTTTCCACTTCATATTGTTGCATTTAACAGTTAACTCACAAAACACAAAATTATATAATACAGTATTCGTTAGGATAGAAGCAGTCAAAGGCACAGCAAGCATCCTTATGTTCAGGAAAGGAAGATTTTTTTTAAAACAATAGTGTGGTTGTTGGCATAGAAGAATCCTTCTGTTGGTTCCCCTGTGCCCTCTTCTCATATTTCCATCTGCTACAACTCTCAGTGATGTGTAGCATGCTCCCTTGTCAGCTGATGGTGTGATGTGGGTTATGCTCTTAGAATCTTTTCCTGTTTAGCACTTTAGAACAGAGATTTGAGAAGGAGTTTCTGTATTTGTGTTCTCACTTCAAAAGGGCTACTGACCATCTGCATTTACATAGCACTTTTCCTTTTCACACTGCTCTATGAGCATTAACTAATTAATTAGTCTTCACATTATTCCTGTGAGTTGTTACACTGTTTACCAAGAACTATAATTTCTGGTTTGAAATATGCTGTTCTTGCCCAAAGTAAAGATTTTTTTTTATATTTCAGTAAAATAAAAAATAGGAATGGAACTTTTGAGAAGTTGAAAATATTTTTAAGATCAGCTGTTAAACTAAAGTAGCAGCCCCTCACAAAAGTACATTTTGGAAAGAAGTTTTACTGTGCTCTTAGCTATGTAGATCAGAGCTCAAAATCCCCATGACAAAGCAACTTTAGCACCACATACCACCCCTAAAATACAAGGGGAGAAAAGCATTTAGCAAAGTCTCCCTTCAGTTTGGCTTAATTTGAGGAAGATTTGCCTTTGCAGCTTGCGTTGTGGGAATTTAGTAGCCTCGTGGGCTTCTAAGGATGAATTTATCTTGATTCTTAGATTAGGTGATTCCCCACAAGGGTGGGAAGTGGTGAGCTTCTCCAAAGGAAGAAAATAAAGAGGGGTGACCATGGACCAATAAAACCCATTTTAGCACAGAAAACCTCTGATATGATCAAAGCTATTTCATCTTGCCCTGGGAACCCTAGATTGTTGTATTTCCATAGGCACAGAAAGACAGTTCAAGGTGAGCACAGGCTATCAAAAATCCTTCCAAGGATTCTCTCCTGCCCTGTTTGTAATAATCAGAGGCTTTCCCTTGGTTCTAGAGATTTAGGCTATGTACGTTATTAGCATTGGGGGAACTGTGATCCCAAGCCCATTTGGCCAGTTGGCTGTTGTGCAGGACTAAACTATCAGATGAGGTGCCATTGCCTCCCATCCCAATTCCTTCTATACATTTCCTCAAATTCACAACTCAAGTGCAACAGTTAAGGGTACTAACCTGAGGTGCCTGGCCGGCTCTGTGGGTCTCAGTTGCCTGCTTAGTCTTTGAAAGGGGATAATATTTCAGGTGCCTGAAGGCAGGAGGCTGGACCAGATGATTTCGTGAGGTCCTCACTATATCTGAGATGCAGGATTTTAGAGCAGAGATCAAAGGAAAATTCAAGCAGATGAATATAGATTAATTGCATTGATTTTTAGCTGAAACAAGCATTATCCTTTTGACTGATTTCTGTACATAATGGTGGTTCTTTGTTTTAGCTGATGATTTCAGCTCCCAGGATAATCTTGATGACCCAGAACCTGCAGGATGGGATGCCACTCTCACTGGTGAAGAAGAGGAGGAGTTTTTTGAACTACAGATTGTAAAACATCATGAAGGAGAGGTAAAAAAAAAGACACAGGAAGGTCAAATAAGGAGCAGTTTCATTTCATTAACCTTTCCAGAAGGCTCCTAAGGGAACCAGCGAGATGAATATATGCCAGTGCTCTCAGAATGTGTAGTTGAAAGCTCCTCTTCAGAAATTGTAGGAAGAATAGAGCTTGACCATCAAATTAAATTTAGTCAACTCTTGATTTTCTGCACCAGTGAAGGGGGAGTGAGTGTCAGTAATTGAAATCAGCAAATGGTCTATTGAGCTTGGTCAGGGGCATAGCCCTGCTCCCATGGGAATTAGGAGAGTAAACTGTTCACCCATACAAAACCTCATCTAAGTGGGAGACAGGGTCCCTGACATAGGAAACATAAAGCTGTTTGCTTCCCAGGCTGTGTTCTCACATCGGATAGTAGGGGTAGGGATTCAGCGTATAACTTATTAAACTGAGTGGAAGGAAATCCTGCTCCAGGAAGCACTCTGTTAGGGCAGAATTTCTCATTGCCTCGCTCCTGTGCTGCATAGCTCAGTTAGAGCTTCAGCCCAGTCACTGTGGTGCCATGGCAAGGGATGGTATTAGTACACCCTTCGAGGAGGACCTTTGCAGGATACCCAGCTGCTGTCTTGGGCCTAGGTAGGTGGCCCAGGTGGGTGACCTGATAATATTTGTCATTGAAAAACTTAAAATACTTTATACAAAGTTCTTTAGATACAGTCTAAAAATCTGGTGCTTGTAATAAGTCATTAAGCAAGGTAGTATAGACATTACTGTCCCCATTTTACAGATAATGAGGCTGAGGCTCAGGAAGGTTGAGATTTGTCCACAGGTGGAGCTAATCAGTGTCACAGTTGGGATTCACATCAAAGTCTTCCTGACACCAAGTCCAGCACTCTGTGCTTTGCCATGGTGCACTGAGGAAGAGCTTTTAGGGCACATGAACAGTTATGTATGCAGATAATTTAGAGGCAAATAATGTGGAAGTGACTGTATCTGGATTAATTAGGTTTTTAAATCATAGTAGTTCCAGTAAACCAGGTTGCTATTTTTCTATATGGTATTCCATAGATTGCTAGTATATATTGATGATTATCAGTAGTGACTGTTAGTAGAGCTTTAAATTTCCCTTCACTAAGTTTTTTGGGGTGGCAGGAAGTTTCAGTGTGTGTACCAGCAATCAGATGGATTCCCCATTCCCAAGCTGTTTAGTCAGTCTCTAGAAGTTAAAGGACTGAGTAATGTGTACAGAGTGGGTGTGATCCAGGGGACACAAATTCAGGCCCAGCATGCCAGTGTTTATATCAGAGCAGTTTGCTTTGCTGGCTTCCCCTTCCCTGACATTTTTTTCATCCTTTTATTGTGGCTGAGTAATCCAGTCCCTGAGAGTAAACTGCTCCTTCACACGAGAATTCTCACTAGAATAGTGGGCTACTTAGGCTAATTTCCCCCTGGAAATTGGGCACTGTTTTCAGTTGTAATTTTTGTCAATAGATCAGGCCAACTTCTTTTTTTCTTTTTGGTTATAGACTTCCCTCTCTCTCTCCCCCTTCTCTTTTTCTGATTTTTATTAGTCTTTGCTACTCAGACTGAAAAGTGCATGTCCTGGGCCTAAAATAAATGAAAGAAATAAGGCTGTGCCTAAGAATTTAGTAAAAATGAAAAAAGCCCTAGTCCTTCACTGCTTCACATCACTGATGTTTCCTGTCATTACATGAATATTCACTTTGGTAGAGGGTAAATTGGGGAAAATGGTGAAATTTTGTGCTGGTTTGTTTGATTCTGTTTAAAACTCCAATCTACCACAAAGTAGACATTTTCAATGGCCAGTTTAAGTTTCCCACAGGTTTAATAGTTAATCTAGGGTAATTATTGGAGCTAGAGATTCATAGGCTTCTACCCATAGGCTCTATTAGCATCTCCTACGTTAGAATCTTTTGTAGTGCCCACAATGTAAATAACCTATCTTGAATTCTGTTGATTTTTAATCTGAACTTAACGGAATAGGCTTAAGCCCCTTTCCCAACTTAAACTATATACCTCCCCACTTCCACCAGCCTATACTGCTTATTGGAGGAGAGAGAGAGTGTGTGAAATTTAAGAAAAAGGATAAAGTTAGGCAGGTACATGTACTTACGTATTGTTGTTTCACAAGATGAATGGAGTTCCCTTAGAGATTTCATGTGTATTTTTTTCATTCAGAAGAGGAAAGATATTTTTTTCTCTTTGTTCTCTCTAGGCAAGAGCAGAAGCCTCCTGGGACTCTGCAGTACATAACTGTCCTCAGCTTAGTAAAGGAGCCACAGCTGATGAAAGAGTGTTTCTGATCGTAAGAGTGACAGTCCAGCTCAGCCATCCTGCTGAAATGCAGCTGGTGCTCCGTAAACGCATCTGTGTCAGTGTTCATGGCCGCCAGGTGAGTCTTTAACTACAGGTGGAGATGTGACTTGAATCAAAAGAATAGCTACGGGACAGGACACATGGAATAAATCCACCGGATTCCTCTCTAGAGAGGACTGGTGACGCAGCAAGTTGCCAGTGGCTATTCTTGTCTCTGTTCCACCACCATGTTATCCTCCCTTTTTGCTAAGTACTCATAGATTTATTTTACTGGCTCTGGTCTTCTGGCTGACTCACAGGAGAGGTGAACCTCTGCCTTTTTGTGCCACAGAGTTTCTGTGAGAGGAAAGCTAGAGGCCCTTATTTTGCCCGGGGTACCACGAGGTAAAAGGCCCACTAAAGGGTAATTCGTTTCTACGTGGTTATTATGCTTCTTCCTTTCCCATTGTTATCTCTGCTGGGGAAAAGAAGAGAAGATTTATTTAGGCATTTAAAACTCTTCATGTACCTGGCCTGCCAGAGGGCTGCATCTCCAAGATTGGTCTTAGGGCTTTTATACTCCTGCTGCACTTTTTTTTTATAAAACGATTTTTAAGGAACAAAAGGAAACTAAATCCCAGACAGATTAAAAAAATAATAATAATTCTTTTAAAAGAGCACAGTCATAGCTGACAGACCACCAGATGTAATCTCCACCCCTAAAAATTAATCTTTAGTTCTAAATGTCACACTGATATCAGTCTTTGAAATGAAGACTGGCTGTAATGCTATTAAAATCGCTGCTCTTTAGCTTGGCAATCCAGCATCAATAAAATCCAGGTCATAGGGTTAGTTATAGCTATAGATGTTGTACTACTCATTTGCCCGCTCTGTCTCTTCTTCCTTATGAGACTGGGAGGGACTGCTTTAAAAAGATCCAGTTTCTGTTTCAGTCCTAGAAGCCCGAGGTACCAGCAACTGATATGTCTAGCCCAGCTGCCCCCCCACTTTGGTACCATTACCAGAAACTGGTTGCAGAATAGATTGTTGTGGGGATCCCAGGCTGTCACTCCTTTTGGGTAGGAGGGCTGATAGGGATTCCTGCATTTTCCCTCTAGTTCTTTTCACCCAGAGGTGCCTTGGGCATGCTGTTTCTCAGTTCTGGAAATAAAATGAATGGTAATTTGGAGCAAGATGAGCCCTTCTTTGTGGTGCTGGTACAGATAGGCCTGTTGGATTCCATTTAAGTAGAGATTGGAAGAAATGAAGATGGCAGTAGCTTTTTAATAGAATGGAAAACTCTAGAGCTGTTTGTGTGTTTAGTGGTAGTGGCCTAACTACCACTAATCCTGTTCAAGGAAATGAAGCCCTGAAATGCTGCCTTTGTACTTAGAAAAACTGATACGTTTAAAAAAAATGTAATTAATTGAGGAAGGAGAAAGGTTTTGGTCAGTAGGTTTATGTCCTGGTGTGTTATTAAGCCTGACAGTTTCATACTTCTCTTAGAAATGTTGCTCCAGTGGGGTCATTTCATGTCTGTTTTTTCCCTTTCTTCTCTCCCCTCATCCCCCCCAAGTCATCAGTGTTAGTTAAATATGCTTTCATTTTTATCTCTATCTCTATTTTTGTCTCGTGTTTAGAGTTATTTATTTCAACTATATTCTACCCTCGTGCCTAATCTCTTTAACCTCTTTAGGATATGTGCTACTAGCAGTATTTTCAAATGAGTCATCTATGCATTAATTCAACAGTTCAGTTCTTAACTGTGCAAAGAGCACAGTCAGCATAAACAATGACCATGCACTCATAAATCATTTTTCATACTGATTCTACTTTGGTCAAGAATTTAATGACTGCTCTTGTCAATATTCATGGCTTAAGATGTCCATCGTGCTGGGGAGGAAAACTGAAAAGTAAAGTGTAAGATTACAAGCCCTTGCTTGAATTTTGCTTAGGAGGTTATTTTGCCATAGCAGTACTCTTCATCTTGTAAGCCAATTAGTTACCTCATGTGTTAGTGCATAGGATAGAGCCTCCACTTTTATTTCATACAGTCACTATTAAATGTGATAGCCCCAAAATAAAATAAAAGAAATGGTACACTAGATCCTGCTGGCGAAATAAAGTAATATGATGATTTATATTTCATGCATAGTCATTCCATTGTTTACATTGTATGATTAAGGAATATAACTACAGTTTGGTCAGGTAGGGAAAACGTGTACCTCCTGTTTTATTTCCCAATAGGGTTTTGCTCAAAGCCTCCTAAAAAAGATGTCTCATCGAAGTTCCATTCCTGGTTGTGGAGTCACCTTTGAAATTGTCTCCAATATTCCAGAGGTAAGTAATCATATAAAGTATTAAATTTATCTGATACTTAAAAGAAATCATAGTAAATAGTAATAAAATCACAATATCATAATTTCAAGAAAGTGTGGGGAAAAAGAACATTTTAGGATAATCTAAGAGAAATCAGTTAGTATCTATTAACTACTTACTGTGTGTCAAGCAAATATTTACTGTCCTAAGTACTAAAGGAAAAAAAAGTGAAAAAAAATCTACCCTCAAGGAGCTTCTGTACCAATAGGGAAGTCAGTATAATATAATTAGGGACCCACAAGACACATACAATATGGTTGGAAGGTAACATTAGAGAGGAAAACATTGATAGTTGGGGGTTCGGATGGGAGAGGGACCAGGAACAGGATCTTGGAGAAAATGACATTTGACCTGAGTCTGGAAGGAAGCCAGAGATTCCAATGTGGGGTGGGGGGGACATTTTAAAAAGAGAGGACAGCTAGTTTGGGAATGGAGCATGATGTGTGAGGAAGAACCAGTGGGGCAGGACTGCTGGATCATGGAGTCTGTGGAGGAGAACTGAGAGTAAGAAGACTGAAAAGGATCCTAATATGAGGAAATTTTTAAATGCCATACAAAGGTGCTTTTATTTGATTCTAGAAGTAATTGGGATCCCTTGGAGTTTATTGAGGCAGCTAGGTGATGCACTGGAGCCAGAAAGACTCATCTTCCCAAGTTCAAATCTTGCCTCAGACACTTGACACTTACTAGCTTTGTGACCCTGGGCAAGTCACTTAACCCCATTGCCTAGCCAAAAAAAACCCCAAAAAACAAACAAAAAAAAGACAGCTTTGAGAGGTATAATGAAGACAGGAACAAGATTTGGTGATTGATTAACTCTGTGGTGTTAGTGAGAATGTAGAATATGGCACCAGGGTTCTAAACCAGAGTGGCTAGCAAGATGGTGGTGCCCTTGAACAGTAATAGGTAAGTTTGGGAGAGGAGGGGTTTAGAGGGAAAGATAATGAATTATTTTAGACATTTTTAGTTTGTAAGGTCTTTGGGATATCTAGTTTGAGATGTTCAATAAGCAGTTGTTGATGGGGTCTTAGATGTCAAGACAAAGACTTGGGCTAGATGTATAGATTTGAGAAATCATCAGCATAGAGAATTTTAATTGATCTCATGAGAGCTGATGAGATGACCTGGTGAGATAGTGTAGATAGAGCTGCAGTTCTCAAACTTTTTGGTCTCAGGGCTTCTTTGTATATTCTCAAATTATTGAGGACCTCCTCAAAGAGCTTTTGTTTATGTGGATTATCTCTATCGATATTTACCATGTTAGAAGTTAATACATTCAAATATTATGAAAATTGTTTGACCTCACAGACCCCCTAAATGCATCTCAGGGACATGGGTTCCCAGACCACACTTTGAGAACCATTGATTTAGAGAAAAAAAGAGCAAGGTACCGAGAAAAGAGCTCAGACAAAAAAAAGACCTGGAGAAAAAATGAGAAGTTCTGTTTCTAAGAGTACTGCTTTGTTGGTATTTGATCAAATTAAATATTTCTTTTGAAAAAATAAATTCTCACCATTTCATGGAAAAAAGTACAAATTTAATTAACAGTACCTGTCAGCAAAGAATTATTATCATTTTTTGTTGTCAAGAGCTATATAACTTCAGATTTTTAAGTCTTTTTTATTTTAAGAGTCTTAATGCAATTTGCAGGAAATGTGTTAAATGTTTGTTGATTAAAGGCATTTTAACATTTGAGCAATTTTTATTTGTTTTCTTAATGATCACCTTTTGGAAATGTAACATTAAATCTTTTGTGGTACGTAGATTGTGTAATTAGATGATATTACATAATTCATAATAGCTTTCTAAGTAATATATTAGAACTGTGATATTTAGCTTTCTTAGAACCCCTATTTCTGTCTAGTTAAAAATAACTATTTAGCCCTGCTAGCTGATGTATGTAGTGAGCCCTCTCAAACCCAGGCCTTCCCATTTGCTTTGCACATTGGCCCTTTCCATTGAAGTCTTCATTTTTCAAAAGATATTCTTGGGCTGTTGTCAGTCAGTTCACTTGATTATTTATAGATTTTTAAACAACTGAGATTATCTTTGTGCCCATGTACTGATTTCTTGAGCCACAATCTTTTTGAGTCTTCCCAAGACTCATTGTAAAGAATATAGAGTCCAGGTATGGCTGAGAAAACTTGATATTTACTGATATTTGGCTGTGTTTTGTTTTTTTCCCCGCACTTGAAGCTTCCCTGTCTTTTCACTTTTATTTAATATTGTCTTTATTCCTCTTCACATGACTTGGTTTTCAAAGGAAGGAATTGTGTGGGAAATTGATTAAGGATAAATGGCATAGTCTTAACTGGCAAGCTATGAATATTTGGATTGTTACAAAATATGAGTAGCCAAATCCTAAGTTGGCAAACACTAATATTTCCCCATTATAAAATATTGCAGATGAAAAAAGAGAAAAGTCCAAAGAAGAACTTACATTCTAATTACAATTTAGATATGATTATTTGTTAAATTAAGATGAAAACCTAACTGAGAAAATAAATATCATTACACCATGAAAGAGCTATGGAAATCAAGATTGAGGCCTACATTGCAGAAACTGTCATAAAAAAATTCATATATATGTAGACAGAGGGCACAGGGTGAGTTGAATATGAAGGTATGATATCTAAAAAATAAAATTAAAGTGTGAGAGAGGGGTATAGTGGGAGAAGGAGAAAGAGAGAGGTAGAATGGGGGTAAATTCTCTCACATAAAAGAGGCAAGAAAGAGCTTTTACAGTGGAGGGGAATTGGGGAAGTAAGAGGGAATGAGTGGACTTTACTCTCATTGGATATGGCTTAGGGGAGGAATAACATACACACTTAATTGGGTATGGAATTCTGTCTTGTGGGGGAAGAAGATAAGAGAGGGAGGGCAGATTGGGGGAGGGGGTAATCAGAAGCAAACGCTTTTGAAAGGAGAGAATAGAATAAACAAGGCAAGTGGGATAGGATGGAGGGAAATATAGTTAGACTTTCACAACACAACTATTATGGAAGTATTTTGCATGACTACACATGTATAACCTGTATTGAATTGCTTGCCTTCTCAATGAGAGTGGGTGGGAAAGGAGAAAAGGAGAGATTTTGGAACTCGAAGTTTTGAAAACAAATGTTAAAAACTGTTTTTACATGTAACTAGGAAATAAGATACACAGGCAGTGGGGTATAGAAATCTATCTTTCCCTACAGGAAATTAGAAGGGGGAAATCTATCTTTCCCTACAGGAAATTAGAAGGGGAAGGGGATAAGAGAAGGGGGTGGAGTGATAGGAGGGAGGGCAGATTTGGGGAAGGGGTATTCAGAATGAATGCTGTCTTGAGGTGGGGGAGGAGAGAGATGGGGAGAAAATTTGGAACTCGAAATCTTGTGGAAATGAATGTTGAAAACTAAAGATAAATATATTTGGGGGAAAATTCAGCATGGAAGGAGAGTTTTAAAATTTGAGAAGTGCAGCTTCTTTTGATATAAATATTAACTATCTTGTAACATATAAGTCATCATGCTAAGGATGCAAAGCCACATATGAAACATTCCCTGTCCTCAGGAAACGTTCTCATTGTTCTGGGAAAGTTGTTCAACATTTCTCAAAAACTAATGCCACATTACAGTTATTTACCAGGTTTGCTCAAAACAAGCTGGTACTTAAATATAGGTACTCCCCCAACTTATGAACACCAGACTGAGAAATGTCTCTCATGTACGTGTGGCCAGCTGACACCGAAAGGAAAGGACCGTCTTCATGTGAAAACTTAGTGAGAGATGTTTTCCTTAAGCAGTTGAGGCCCGATGTTTCCATGAAATGGGAGCCAGCACTCCCTACAACTGTAATAGGAGAAGATGCATTCCCAGAGCACACCTTGCCTGGGGCCTGGGACATGGGTGGATATTGAACATGAGCCTACCTCCCTCCGGTCTCTGCTTTTCTAACTGTTTTTTGTCTAGCCTCTTTAACTGCACTTCTCTTGTCTCCTCTGCTTCCTCAGTCCCCTCAATTCTTCAGCATCCTCCTTTGCTGACTTAATCCTCTGTGATGGAGAGACAGGTTCCACAAGGTTGTTCCTGGTTGTGTATGTACTGTGGTTCACAACTGCCTTAGAGGAGAGTGTTGTCACAGAGCTAGCTCCTATGAATCTATACATAGCTTTGTAGTATGTGATACTGTATAATGACAGGGAGGAATTAACAGAATAATACTGTTGAAAATATATAGCACTTCAATGAAGTTTTCATATATATATATAAAATCTATATATAGACTTAATCTATATATAGACAGTACAAAATATATAGCATTCTAATGACAGATTATAAATAAATTTTCTAGACTATCCTGGGAACCTAAACACCAATTTTGTAACATTTTTTCCCTATGTATTTCAAGTTACAGGTAACTGACTTATAAGTGAGATTCCCACTGGAGTTATTGATTTTAATGGAGAAAATTTTTCCATTTTCCAGGATGCTCAGGGAGCAGAGGAACGAGAAGCATTAGCAAGAATGGCAGCTAATGTTGAAAATCCGGCCTCAGCAGACTCAGAGGCCTATATTGAAAAATACTTGCGAAGTGTCTTGGCAGTTGAAAACCTCCTCACTTTGGATCGTCTTCGTCAGGTCTGATGATAGAATAGCCTAACTCGGTGCTTGTTGTTGGGCTTTGTTTTGTTTTTTTAAACTGCTTATGGGTCGTGATTGTAATTGCAGTTGTTTAGCTGAATTAAATACATGCGATTCAACTGGTCATCCACTAAATCTCCTGGAACATAGGTTACATTGGGAAAATTACTTCTGAGAGGATTGGGTGGGAAAGGAGGATTTCATTTATTCTTGTTAGAAAAGTGTTTTCAAATCTGTTTGAAAGGCAGTACTCTTGCTGACCATGTCCAAAATTTTTAACAGGGCCCTTATCTTGACTAAGCAGAAATGTCCTTTGCAGAGTTAGGGTCCCTCAAATAAGTAGATTTTTAGAAATGTTTAATAAGAGAGGAATCAAATAAAATCTCTAGGTAATCTTTAAACCTCATTTTAGCTAGTAGTTTCAAGCCTTTTAACGGAACTACTAATAAAATGCAAAATGTAACTTTCAGATTCTTTTTTTCTCCTGACCACTTTCTGGTCAGTGAAATGGCCAAAACCCTGACAGGGGAAGAGAGAAGCATATGGCTTATATAATCCTCAGACTATTTAATATGATTACTAAATAGTCTAAAGTTGACTGTAATTAGGTACTTCGGGCACGTAAAGTAAGAGGCATTACTTGGGTGATTTTATATGCATTTGTATCTGTGGTGGACCAAAGGGAAAACTTGATCTGAGCAGTACTTCTGACATGAATTTTTCTCATTATGGATTTATAATTCACAGGAAGTTGCTGTGAAGGAGCAGCTAACGGGAAAAGGGAAGCTGAATAGGAGGAGTATTAGCTCTCCAAACGTGAACCGAGTAAGCTCATAAATGTCCTTTTCCTCTAATTTAGGGAACAGGTGCAATGTGGAGGGGATGGAATGTGAGATGCCTTAGCAAGGGAAGAGAGCTCTTTGTTCCTTCTGGTTATGTAAATGTTGCTGGATGAGGCATTGCCACCCTTGGTTCTAATTAATCTTAGCTCTATTGCTAGTTAGGCATGTGCCCTTGGGAACAATATCTTTTGCTGTAGCAAAAAGAGCGCTTAATTTGGTGTCAGAAGGTCTGGGTCTAGGTCTCAACTTTGCTACTTAGAAGACCTGTGGCATTTAACCTGTCTCATCTGTAAAATGGGCATAATACGACTTGTATTTCTGAGCTCAGAGGGTCGGAGGGGGATGCTCTATCAGCCGTCAACCAGTACATAAGAGGGAGCAGTTTCATGTGGCGTGTAGAGACCTCTGAACTCTGCTTCTAATCTTGGCTCGTCTACTTGCTGGGGATCCAGCCTTTCACGTGGTTCACATGGTTCAGTATCTGGAACCAGTGAGATTGTTGTTATTGAAAGGTGTCTTGCCACTGCAACCCTAAGGACCGTGAGGCCTTTTCATCTGGTTTGCAGCTAAAATGTCGAATATGTCTTGTCTGCCCACATTAGATGTGACATTCTTGAGTGCTGGAGTGCTTTTCTTTTCTATTTGTTTCCTCAGCATTTAGCTCAGTGTACAGTAAGTGCTTAATTACTGCTTATTTGTTCATTTAAAGTTTGATGTTTTAACTTTCTTGCCTTTCCTCAGATATAAAATGATGGTTTAAACTAGATTATCACTCTTATCTGCTCCAACTCTAATATTCGATTAGTCCTGCATTTTTAATGAATATTAAATTCACATTCATAGAAAAGCAACCACTTACGGTGTTATTTTTATCTTTTCAGCTCTCTGGAAGCCGACAAGATCTTATTCCAACATACAGTCTAGGTAGTAACAAGGTAAGCATTTAATAATCCTTTTTTCTAGTAAGAGGATTATTATGGAGATTTTAGAAAAATAAACCCATTTCTTTTTAAACCTTCATCTCAAACATCACACACTTAATTTTTACACGTTAATTTCTTACCTTCCCCCCAACCCCTTATAATTCTCTTGTTCTGTACATGCAGAGATGCAACGTGTATGTGGTAGAAGGGGGGTGAGATCTGCAAGTATAAGACCTTGGGTTGATTGAATTTCAACTCTGAAATGTATGAGTATTGTGACATTGGGTCACTTAACTTCCCTGAAATTTACTTTACTCATCTGTAAAATGGTGGAGTACTTTTTGTACCTTGGATTGTTGTTGTATTTTGTAAGTTGTAGAGTGTGTGTGTGTGTGTGCGTGTTCACATGCACATTTATTTATTCATTCCTTCATTTTTTATGTGAGCTCTTATGTCTTTCCTAGGAAAATACTTCTTTCTAACTTTTCACCATGCTATCACAAGTAGATCCTTTCAGATCCTTTTGTGATTGAGATTGAGTAATAATTCCTTTTTTTCTAAGTGATCGGTTCAAAATATGACACATAATTGTGTATAAGCAAAATGGTCAACCCTGGTGTTCACAATAAAGCAATTGTGTCATGATGGAAAACTTGTGAGCAAGAGTGAGATTATGCCTGAAAAAACTACACTAGTCAGTGTGTGTGTGTGTGTGTGTGTGTGTGTGTGTGTGTGTGTGTGTGTGTGTGTGTGTGTGTAACTGTGGTTCTTTGGACAGAAATCATACAAGTAAGGGTAAGTGATGTGATGCTGTTAGCTTGGGATCTGTTTGTTGGCATAAGCATAGTAGGACAGCTTTTCTTATAAAGAGTTAATGTGTTAGGATGGGGTCTGTGAACTTCAAAAATTTTATTTAGTATTTTGAAAACCAACTCAATATAATTGTTTTCCTTTTGTAATCCTATGTAATTACTTTTAAAGACATTTATCTGAAAGAGAATCCATGGGAGACTGACAGCAAAAAAATGTTAAGAACCCTTGCTTTAAAGGAAGACATTCCTGGAAGCTGTACAGTGTGTTTGACACATGTTACCATCTAATGTCCGCCATTTTGTGTTTCTTCCAGTCGAAGTCCTTGGTTTTCTCTATGCTGTGTATTATATAGATACACACTGTCAGCTCACTATTACCCATGATGACTATTCTGCCAAACTCAACAAATGTTGTTCTATTCTGTGTACAACCACTGAGTCTGCTGAGTGGTCAGATGATTGGCTGACGTGAGCGTCTGTTGCTTGGCAGTGTGTGCCCTCATAGCGAAGAAAGGTACATTAAACCATCACAGCTCATGGACTGAATCCCTCCCAAGTTCGTCTCACTGCCTTTGTCCTAGTGATCAACTCACTAGGCAAGCCTCAGCTGTTCCCTTGTCTTTTCTGAGAAGCTTTCTCTGTGGACAAGATAACATGCTGACCAAACAATACGAGCGTTGGATCCATTGGGAAGTTATTGTCATCTAAATAAATCAGTGCAGGGGGTGTGTGTATCAATCTGTTATGAATTTAGTTAATGTGAATCAGTTACCTAGCCTGATCATGGAAGGTATTGATGAAATCTAGTTCCTGAGCATGCGCATCTCAGATCAGACCTTTAATGTGAATTGATCCCATCTGAGGGCTGTCAGGAGAGTAGACCCAACCTGAATAGGCAGCCATTCTCTCTTTTCCCCACCAAACTCTGCACTTTTTTCCTTTGGGCTATCAAATGTGAAAACTTCAGGGAATAATAGTGTTTTTTTAGTTCATTAAACTAAAATTTAGTGCTTCAAATGCCTGTAATTTTGTCAGTTATTAACTGACATCCTGAACAACATCCTCTATATCTTAGTAGGCGGTCTTTTCTGAGATACTGGGGGAAAGTAATAAACATTTTAAAGTGCTTTCTATGTTCCAGGCACTATGCTGAGACCTTTACAAATATCTCATTAGTTCCTCACAACCACCCTGGGAGGTAGTAGTTATTATCCCCATTTTACAGCTGAGGAAACTGAGCAAACAGAAGGTAAGTGACTTGCCCAGGGTCACACAGCTAGTAAGTATCTGAAGTCAGATTTGAATTCAGGTTGTCCTGACTACAGTCCTAGCACCTGATCCACTATACCACCTAGCTGCCGCAGGTATTAAGGCCAAAACTTTGAAAAAATGTGCCTAAGCTTAATGATCAGATATAGTCCATTACTAGCCCTTAATTCAGAGTCCTTATAGCTTGGTGTGGGACTTGCTAAAAATTTTATTGCGCTGGAATTGTCTTCAGAAACTAAGAATCATCTCCATTCCACAAAAGGGCAGTATAGTAGAACTTTAGTCAAAGATCTCATTAATAGAGTGGTCAGATTTGGGCAGCATAAAGTTATTGTTACATATGTAAAGAATGTTCATTCCCATTCCAGCCCCCACCACCCAAATATAGGTCTGAGGAAAACATTCTCTTTTTCTAATTAGTATTAGCCTTCCATAAAGAGAAACCAGGATGGAAGAGAGTCATAAAATTAGATTCTTCAGGCTATAAAAGACCCTAGACATTCAGTTTAACAAACAGCACACCCGATTCCATTATTCTCGTTGTTGGGGACATAAAGATGAGAAATTTCAGCCCCAGCATTAGGAAGGTAGCACTCAGATCCAACCCATATACCTTATTAATAAATAAAGAACCTGAGGCCTAGAGAGGCAAAGTCACCTTTTCAAGTTCACATACGAAGTTAGTGGCAGAGCTAGACTAGGGTCTAAGTATCTTAATATCAGGGACAGCTAGGTGGCACAGCATATAGAGCACCAGGCCTGGAGTCAGGAGGACCTGAGTTCAGCTCTGGCCTCAGATACTTACTAGCTGTGTTACCTTAGGCAGGTCACTTAACCCCATTTGCCTCAGTTTCCTCATCTGGAACATGAGCTGGAGAAGGAAATGGCAAACCAATCTAGTGTCTTTGCAAAGAAAACCCCAAATGGGGTCACAAAGAGCCCAGCACTCTTTAAATAACAACTAATCTTGATATCAACCTAGTGTGATTTCCATATATCACTGCCTTCTGTAACTGTTGGCTCTTTGCTTATTTCATTTATTCATTCTCCCCACTTCTTTTGGGCACAACTAGCCCATGAAAAATAAGAACATGGAAAACATAACCCCTGATCTAAAATAACATGCTATCCTAGTCATCTCTTCCTGCTTTCTGTTTGTTTCTCTCTAAAAAGGATGTTTTGTAGAGGGAGTTATTACTGGATGTAGGAGGCTGCTTCTAACTGCCATGTCTCCCTACCTTCTCTCTGTGAGAAATAAGAGACTCCCTTATTTCACTCTTTCTTTTCCTTTCAATAATTGGATCTTTGAGGAGACTTTCCTCCTCTATTCCTGATCATCATTTTCCTCAGTCATGGAACTCCAGAAGCTGATGAGTCCTTACAAAGTCATCTTCATGGTATTCCAGCTTATGGGGTAGGCCGTCTGTTGGGCCACCCTCTCCTTTATTGAAAATGTGCTCCTATTAGGCAGGGTAAAAGAGTGCTTTTCTGAACTCACATTCATGCCTTCTGCCCCATTACAACCAATCAGGTTTGGAGTTCAGCCATGACCAAACTTTTGTTGGAAAATCCAGCACATTCCCAGGCCACTTGGTAGTGCAGGGCAGAATGTGAAGAGATACCTTTCCTCTACACTTATCTCCATACCAAACACTTCTCACGTCTCAGTTATCTGGTTCTTTCTCTCAGTTTCAAATTTTTTTGGGGGGGGGGGGCAGTTGGGATTAAGTGACTTGCCCAGGGTCACACAGCTAGTAAGTGTCAAGTGTTTGGTCTGAGGCCAGATTTGAGCTCAGATCCTCCTGACTTCAGGGCTGGTGCTCCATCCACTGCTCCACCTAGCTGCCCCAGCCCCCAACCTTTTTGACCTTTATGGATTCATTGTTGGCCCAGAGCTAGTATCAAACATACGCCCAAGGGACCAACTCCCAAATGTTGCCTGATCCAGATTGAAGTGTAATTGGGAAATATTTAACACAATGAGGACGAATACAGTAGAACATAGATAATGTTAATTCATGGTTTTTTAAGTCAGTAGGCAGCCTGCAGGTATGCTTATGTATGATTTAGTGGCCTCCTGTTTCTACTTGAGTTTAACACCACTGGCCTAGAGAAAATGAATATTTCAGGGATTTCATACTGCCCAAAAAGCAATTGAAATAGATGATAGATGCTTACTTCTGTCTGGACTAGGGAGTCCAGAGACCAAGCCCTTTTGGAGCTGGTTGGAGAAGCATTGTAAGGCTCACAGTCTAAAGGTTACCAATTCCCTTCTCTTTCTAGGAGGGCTAGAGATGGGTTGACTGGTGCTCTGTAATCCAGCCATTATGTGGGACCCTGGGAAGGTCACCTTCTGTGCCCATTACTTTGAGACACATTTTCTAAAATAGCTCTGTGTTGTATCTAGCCACTACTTCAGGAAATATTTGAGAAAAAAATAGAAGAAAGGGTTCATCTAGTCTTCTAATTTCCTTGCTTTGACTCTGATGTTTTTCATTAGACAGGAAAATGGGTAATTATTATGATCATGCCATCATCATCGAGCCTGTAATGCATTACCAACCCAGACTGCTACCACCTGCCTTGAAATAGGACTTGATGAGCCATTTAGCAGGAGTGGTGATATTCACCAAATTTGACTTTCAGGAGGCATGGAAGCTGACTCAGATGAAATGTGACAGTTAACAGAAGGTGATCTTAATAGATCTAGAACCGCCTATTAGAATAATGCTATGGGTACTACTACCTTGGTCTTTAAACGGTTCTTGAATTCAGTGTTGTAAGACCTGTTGGATCAGAGATGGTAATTTATTTCAAAGATATCCTTAATGACCTTCCTTGATCCTAGATCCCATAGTGCCAGATTGGCCTAGCTGGCTATTGGCCAAGCATGAAAGGCTGTCAGGAAGTGAGGACCATTCTACTGTGGAC